TAACATATGTACTAATACATGGAAAATAATTTACCTATATTAAGAAGAAATGTAGTTAGATGCATAGTATTAAAAATACTATGTTACACCCATGTTTATACAACAATAAAATGTGCCTAACATATCTAACAATACATGGAAAATAATTTACCTACAAGTTAGATAAATATTATTTGGTTGGGTGTAGTATAATATTTTTTAATAATTGGAAAAATTAAATATAACTAGGTGTAGTGTAATTTTTTTATATATAATTAGAACAAATTAATTTGCCTACCTACTATTTGAAATGTTCATTTCTAATGATGCAAAATGTTCATTACCTAACTATAAATTAATTTCCAATAATTTACCTACAACAATTATACCATGGGTGTAATGTAATATCTTTCTTTACAATGATACAAAATATTGTATGTACCAACAACAAAACGTGCCTAACATAAGTACTTGTACATGGAAAATAATTTACCTATAACAAAAGAAATGCAGTTTGATGTATAAAATCAACAATATTATGTTCCACTCATGTTTATACAACAACAAAACGTGTCTAACATATATAACAATACATAGAAAATAATTTACCTCCAAGTTAGAGGAATGTTATTTGATTCAAAATATATAATATAGGTGTAGTATTTTTTTTAAATAATTGGAACAAACTAATTTACCTACCAATTAATATGGGTAAAATTGCTACAAAATATATGACAAACAAAAAAAAAAACTACTTTTCTAGTTTGACATGGATACGGTTAATGCAAACACTTTTTACATTTTATTTCACTTTTTCTACTACTTTTAATTTGGCATAAATTTAGGGATTTGGAAAAAGGACCATAAAGTATGAGTGGCATGAGTGTAAATAAATTGTATTAATAGGTCAATAGTGTTCCTATATGTTTGCAAATTTTAAATTTGGGCTTAAACTGAATTTTTAAAGATAAATGAGTTTTTATCTAGAAATAATGAGTTGTAAGATCCAAAATCTAAAGCACCCTAGTTTTTTTATTTCACAAAACCGATTAAACATCGCGAGTAAAAATTCTTTTTGAAAAAAATGCAATTTTTTAGTTTTCGCAATACCTTTAACGCAAACATGAAGGAAAAGTGTTATAAGCCATTAGAAAATAATCTTACAATTTATGGCGCTCCATGAGCATTTCTTACATTTATGGATTCCAAACCTTCAAACTAGACTAGTATGCACAATCGCACTGAGGAAAGATTAAATATTTACATGACAATTAGAGTTAAAACGGATTTGGTTTTTATCCGAGGCATATGAATTCTCATAACCTTAGGTATCACCTCCACCCAGCACTCTCCTTAGATCATCCTTCTGCTCTGCATTAAGCTTCGCCGGAAAGACGATGTCGAACTTGACCCTTAGGTTTCCTTTCTTGGTCGGATCTTTAGAGATTGGCATTCCCTCATTAGGAACCACCTCCTCATGGCCAGGTTTGCTAATAATGTCTTTCACCGGGATCATGAGAACCCTTCCGTCCAACGTTGTCAGATTGACGAACGCTCCGGTGAGAGCCTCGAGTAGAGAGAGTTTTTGAGTGACCATTAGATCATTCCCGTCACGCTTGAAAAGAGGGTGGGGCTTCTCGTCAACGACGAAGATGAGATCAGTCACAGAGATGCCGGGTTCTTGGTTGCCTTTCTCTGGGAATATATGTGATCTTTGTACCCTTCTTCCAGCCATGCTTGATGTTTCTTCAATAGTCTTTGGCTTACTGCAAAAAAGTTGTTTCAACATTATTAGGGTAAAGAGGAAAAGAGAGTATTTCAGCATCAAGTACAAACTAATCCAAATTATAAAGAGAGAAATTTGAATTTGTGTACAATGACGGAAGTATATATGTTTTAGTCAATATAGTTACGCTCATGTCTGCAACATCTATAAATGTTAAATTACCTTTTAAACTAATAATATATATTCTAAGTTATTTTAATATGTGGGGAGTGAGAGATTCGAATTGAACTCGAAGATGTAGATATGTTGCCTTGACTAATTGGTTTAACATGCATCTGCTAACCTGTAATTCTTTAGAAAACATGTTTTCGTTACCATTTTTAAGCCGCAGTTTGCCCATACATTTCATTGGTGATTTATGCTCTATCTATCATATGTGTGGTGGTGGGTTTATGTGTATTGCACTGGTGGTGGCAACTTGATCAAAGCAACAATTGGAACCACCGTAAAGTGCAAAAAAAGGAGATGCCTTTTCCCCTTTTATTAGCCTCGTTTAATTTTTTGTATTAGATTCCACAGTATTTGGTAGCTCATGGGTTTCATTCACTCACAGAATTGTAGTTCTGAGTGAATATCTTGTTTTGTAGCTCCCATGGCAAATGCTTCGAGGTATCTTATACTGTGAAATTTTTTGCCGTTAAATTTTAATTATTAATTTCGGCAATATTTCAAAATATTGCGTACGATGATAGTAGAAAATTCTGCTAACTAAGCTGACTTTTAGTTTTGGTTTTGGATGCTAATGGTGAATATATGCCATTATATTTGTTTTTGACGTCGTGGCAAAACTGTCTATTGAGATTAACAAGAGCCAACTGCTCTTTACACTCTAATTGGTGTAATTAGGGATCCCAGCATTTACCTTTAATTAGAAAATGAAAACTGATTGAATTATTAGATGCCAAATTCAGAAACAATACCACTCACCAACTCTGTCATAGACTTTTAATTTCTTTTAATTTCATCTTTTTTTGGGTGTTTATTATGACTTAATTAACATCTTAGATTCATCTGCTAAGAGCATATAGATAGAACTTGTCCGCTTAGCAGATAGATAGAAGGGAGACTTTGGATACGGTCCTTAGTTATGAATATTCTTTGATTGAAACCTTGTTGGTTTTTAATTTTTTATCGATGTCCCTGAAATTAATGTGATAATTTATTTCTATGTACATTACTATAATTTTTTAAATTAAAAATTAGAAATTTTAGTTGTTTATATAAATGAGATTTTAAATTAAAAAAAAACATAATTTGTGGGATTAAAAATGTGTGTGTGTGTGTATACATGGGTACATTCATCAAAATTAACCAAAAAATTTATTGTATCAAAACATGGGTACATTCTTCAAAATCACAAAAAAAAAAAAAAAAAGATTTTAGGCTTAATAACATTAGTAAATTTCTTCGATTAAACTTGACATGGATACATTTTAAAATCAAAGAAAAAAGAATGTACCCATATAAGTTTAAAAATGGATTAGAAAAAAATTGAATAGATTTTATATATATATATATATATATATATATATATATATATATATAAGGGTACATTTTACATATAACAAATTGGTATATTTAAGAATGAGTACATTTTAAGATTAAAAAGTTTTACATGAATGGGTACATATAATTAGCATGGGTACATTTAGCAAAATAAAAAGTACAAATAAAAAAAATATGGGTACAAATACAAATAAACTTTAAAAAATATGGGCAAATGGGTACAAATTAAAACTGAAAAGAAAATTGGTACAAGTTAAAAAAGAATTACAAAGTAAAAATGGGTACAAAATAAAACAAAAAATATATGATATAAAAATTAGTCATAAATATAAATATACTAATTGTAACATTTTTAACATTAAATGAATATATTTAGAAATAAAAAAAAATTATTATTGAAATAATTAATAATGTTATTAATACCCAAGGACCTTGATCAAAAATTGAAAAGGAATATGATTTTAATCAATGGAGTAGCAAAAAGAAGAATAAAAACCTAATTTCTCCTAGATAGAACTTGTCCTTACCGGATTGAAAGAGAAAGGTGGCCAAGAGCTTTTAAACAACATTAGTATATTATTATTTTGATATAGGGACAATTGAGTCCTAACATTACACCGCCGCGCTTCCGTACGCAATAACTCTAATACTAGTCGATTGATCATGTTAAAAATTGGCTTGTAAGGAAAGGGTGAGCATATCTCTTAAACTACTATAACGTCCTAACAACATCCATAAAGAAGAGCAAAAAACAATGCTATGTCTACCGCATTGTGGACGTATCAGTAAAACTAATGTTCGTCTTAGTTGAAAATATAATTCATAATATGATAATATGTTGCGAGTTATATGTATAAATAGTAGTCTTTTGTCGTACATTTACGAAGTGCATATGTACTAGTTGTAACTTATATATGTATACTTTACTTTGAAGATCAATGAATATAAAAGAAATTCCAAATTATTATTTGATACTTTTTTTGTATTTACCATGCATATTCAATTCAACTTGACTTTAGAGCAATTTGTTCCGAGTGACATGTACGCTTTAATTTTGTGCCCACTTTTTCTTAGTATTGACTGTAAAGTCAGTGTTCGTGTTGTTGTGATTTCCTTTGTTAACAAAATCATGAATAGTGCCGTGCGTGAACATAGATTATGCCACCATGTTGTGAACAGTGATTTACTTTCTGCTTGACAGTGAACACCACAGCTTTCTCCCTTTTAGCAAAGGAACCAAATCTCAAGTAGAATTCTTTTCTAGAGCTTCCATCTCAACATTCATGGATTAAACCCATTTTGGGTCAGACAAATCATCTTGCCATTCAACAAATATGTTATAAATACACTTTACTTAGAAATATTCGTTGACTTATGATTTTGAAAGCATTTCGTCCATGAATTCAAATATTAGTTGTAGTCTTGAAATTAAATTTTACTCGGCCCTCTATCAGTCATTTTCACAGTCAATTTTTCTATCAAATGTTGTACAAACGAAGAATCAAACATGCACTAGGCAAAGGAATATGAGTTTATATAAAAGAGAGTCCTTTTTTATGATTAATATCCCACCTTAGATGCCTTAAAAAATTTCCAAATTAAGTTCAACGGTGTTCGAGCCACATAGTAGAATGGTGCTGTCAAAGAGTCGAACGAATCCGATTCTTCAAGTTCACCATACAACTTTTGCCCATTGCCCTAAAGCCTATATAAACACCTTCCCACCAACACCAAATATCCACAGCCGAGCGCAGTCGACTAGAAGAAACAGCTTATCATTTTGTCTTAGGCAAAGAGAATAGTAGAAGAAGAAGAAAGAAGAAATGGGAGGCAACATGTCACACATTCTAGACTCGGATGAATCTTCACATGGACACGAGTCTCGCATCGTGTCCTTCCATTCCAAGGGTCAATGGAACACCCACTTCGCCGCCTCCAAAGACAGCGATAAACTGGTAACTATCATTAAACTCCTTTATGGAGCTTATATGTTTTGTAATTCAGTTGTTTAAAAGCATCTATTCTTACATTGAAAGTCTCGAGTTTGAATACTCCCTCCCTGTACTATTGTTTCTATAGAATGAAAGTTATAGAGCTCGTTTGGAAGTACTTTTAAAATGACCGAAAGCGCTTTTAGAGAAAATATTTTTGAGTTCTAAAAGCATTTGACGTACTTTCTGCAAGAAGCACCAATTAATTATGTGCTTCTTCCAAAAAGAACATTAATTGCTTTTTAGGATTTACTTATATTTTTATTAAAAATTGGTTCCAACAATATTTTCACCAAAAACGATTTCAACCATTTTAAAAGCAATTCTAAATGAGCTTATAATCAAGCTCCGCATATGATAAATCTACTATATTATACCCCACTCTATTTATTTAAATGAAGTTGCTTAGTTGATTAATCATTTTGTTTGGATGGTTATGGTGATGCACAGATGGTGATTGATTTCACGGCTACATGGTGTGGACCTTGTAGAGCCATGGAGCCAATCTTGAGAGACTACGCTGATAAATTCACTGACGTCGAGTTTGTCAAGCTTGATGTTGACGAGCTACCGGTATATATTTTTATGCATGAATACTTCTCCTCATAGTTTTCTTTAATTATATATATATAACTATTATTTACACCTCAAAAACGTTATTACGCACTGATTCCTTGCAAAAGTATAAAGATGGAATTCGCATCCAGGAAAACATAATGATCTTCTTGAAGTATCAATAACATTCTGTTGAAATTTGAAATTGACCCATGATCGAACATGACATACAAATATCAGAAATGTGATCTTAGTTACCAAGTGGCGAAAGAATATATGGTCACTCATGCTTAAATTTAATATCACTAGTGGAGAACAAATGAACATGTTTTTAATGTTTTGATATCAACCCTTGATATTAAATTTAAAGATGAGTGACCATGAATCTTTGATTACTAGGTGACCAAAAAGACGAGACTCGTATATAGAGAGAGAGAGAGAGAGAGAGAGAGAGAGAGAGAGAGAGAGAGAGAGAGAGAGAGATATATATATATATATATATATATATATGGGGTATATAATTGATAAATATGAATGGATGGATGCAGGATGTAGCAAGGGAGTTTGGGGTGCAGGCAATGCCATCATTTGTATTCATGAAGAAAGGGGTGGTGGTTGATAAGATCGTGGGGGCTAGGAAAGATGAACTGCAGAAGAAGATTGAGAAACATAGGAGATCATAATTAATCAAATGATTAATTAACTGATTATGTGAGTAAATTAAAGCTGGATCAGGATTCAGGAATACATTATGATGATGATGTGACACCCACGTGTGAGAGTGGAAGAAATAAAGTGAAATGGAAAAGATATAGTACCGCGGCAACTCGTTCATCTGAGTTGGTCTTTTATGTTTTGTTTGGATTAAGGACGTTTGGTATGCTATTTCGAATGTCTTATTTGATATTTGTATTAGTTCTTAAAATTATAATAAAACCGATATCATTTTGTCTAATATATATATTTTGACAAAAAGAAGAAAAAAAAATATATATATATATATACATACACACACACAATTGCACAATTGCACCGTGGAAAGATTAAATGTTTAAATGATAATTAGAGTTAATGGATTTGGTTTTTATCCTAGGCATATAAATTCTCATTACCTTAGGTATCACCCCCACCCAGCACTCTCCTCAGATCATCCTTCTGCTCTGCGCTAAGCTTCGCCGGAAAGACGACGTCGAACTTGACCCTTAGGTTTCCTTTCTTGGTCGGATCTTTAGAGATTGGCATTCCCTCATTAGGAACCACCTCCTCATGGCCAGGTTTGATAATAATGTTCTTCAGCGGGATCACGAGAACCCTTCCGTCCAACGTTGTCAGATTGACGAACGCTCCGGTGAGAGCCTCGAGCAGAGACAGTTTCTGAGTGACCATAAGATCATTCCCGTCACGCTTGAAAAGAGGGTGGGGCTTCTCGTCAACGACGAAAATGAGATCAGCCGGAGAGGTGCCGGGTTCTTGGTTGCCTTTCTCTGGGAATGTGATCTTTGTACCCTTCTTCCAGCCAGGCTTGATGTCTATCTTTAGGGTTCCCTCAATAGTCTTTGGCTTACTGCAACAAAGTAGTTGTTTGAATATTATTTGAACAACTAGTCTAAAACTTTTGGGAAACAAATTGTGTTTCGGTATTCAACAGTTGAAACTACTCTAACCTATAACTTACGACGACAAGGGGATCAAACGCAAATGACACGACGGATGAACTGCCTTGTTCAACTGGCATAACTCACGTCCTCTCAATTCGGACAAATTAAGAACATATCGTTTGGACAATATCAAGTTCAGAATTCTAATCCAAAATCGATTCCTTTTCTAAATGTTTCCATTTAATTTCTGATTTAAGTGAAAGTCAAGATCACCTACCTAAAACGGCAGTTTGCTGAAATTTTAACCATATTAACAAAACTCCCCAGCTAATTATGCCTTAATCAAAGTCAACTAAACAAGTCAACAGACGCAATTAACAAAAACCATACGAACACATCATTTTCCACAAATCCTTAATCCCAATTAACAAAAACAAAGAAACAGACTTTGCAGCAATTCCGACATATTAAAAGAAACCCAACAATAAAAGAAGACAGAAACAGAGTGCTCACCCTCACCCGAACTCATCAGGAACGGTTCTCGAAATCCTCATCTTCATCCTCGCTCCTCTGTAAAGATCCTCCAAGCTGCACGTCAACTTGCTCTCAATCGCCGCAACCTTCTTACTCTTCAGATTACCATTACGCCCTTCACCATTCACACTGCTCTTCTTGAACGCCCTGTCCCCGACGCCGCCAGATCCGCCGAAAAACTCGGCAAAAATGTCTTCCGGGTCGCCGCAATTGAGCCCCTCCTCGCCGTAGATGTCGTAGATCTGGCGCCGCTGGGGGTCGCTGAGAACATCGTACGCCTGGCACACCTGCTTGAACTTGGCCTCCGCTTCCTCGTTGTCGACTGGGTTCTTGTCGGGGTGCCACCTCATCGCCAGCCTCTTGTACGCCTTCTTCAGGTCCTGCTGCGTCGCGTTCCGGTTCACCCTCAGCACGCTGTAGAAATCCACACCCATGTGATTCCTCTGATCGAAATTATCTACGGCCCTGATTCGATATCTCTATGGCAGTCGGGGAGAAAAGCCGGTCGTGGAAAAGTGCTTATGAAGCAGAAAGCAAAGGTGGTTGGTGCGCGTTTCGTGAATGGAGTGGTGGTGGGGGGATTGGAATTTGGAGAGAAGGACACAGCGGGGATTTAAATAACTAAAATCTCTGGCAACGTGCAGTGAGGTGGGAGCCAAGCAGACTTTGAGTATCTTCGTAGACTTTGATTTTTAAGATTCTTTTTATTTTTTAGTTTTTAAAGGAAATATATTTGTAATTACAGTTGCACAGATTCTTGTTGGTCGTTGATGTCGGAAATCTTTGCACAGGTGTCGCATATACAAGAGCGGAGAATATGATCGATATGTCAGACGACGTCGTTTTGAGGTTCTGAACCTGTTTGAAACAAATGATTAATCCGCCGTCCTTTCTTCTTTAAATATGGGATATTGTGAGTATTGTTATTGTTTTTCTTGTGAAGCTGAAATTTTGGCGGTCGACCTGCATCGGGGGGCACTGGGGCATTCGATGATTGTAGTTAGAAAAGAGATTTTTTATTGTATTAGAAAACAGCTCTGTAGTGACTTTAATCTAATTCTTGTAATTAGAAACTAGATTTTTTAGTGTGTCAAAAAACAGTTCAGTAATGACATTAGTCTAATTCCATCTTTGCTACTCAAAAGTGAAAATAGTAGCCACTTAATACTACGGTCTAGTGGTATTCCTCTTAACTTGTAAGTAAAATGTCTTATGTTTGATTACCGCCAAACGTGAATTTAAACCACATTATTGTTAGCCCATTGTAACTCGTGAGGCTTAGCCCACCCCACCTCCTTAGACCATCTCTAACCCTTTAGGTTTTAACCCCGAAACAATTTATCTCATCCGACCCATGGGCTAAACTTTTAGCCCGAGATTATTAAAAATGAATTTAGGATAATTTTTTTTCTTAAAGTAACTTTTTTTTAAGAAAAAAAAAATTATGTCGACTATTCTAATTTAATTTTATGAACATTTTAACTTAAAAATATTTAGATTCGGATAAATATTGAAAAATCACTAAACCAGCACCAAGAAAGTCATGAAACACTATGAAAGAATATGAAACACATAAAATAAACTTTTTTAATTACTTTAATTGTTGGATTTAAATTTGATCCATTAGATTTTATTTTATTTTTATTTTTATTTTGCCATTGGATTTGATCAAATTAAATCTTAGTTGTTGGATTCAATGAATTAATAAATATAAAACTAAAAAAAATAGACGTATTTAGTGGGTTTGCCCCACTAACCCAGTAGGAAGTCTTGGCTAAATTTGCCCCAAAAATAAGTTTTGGGTTTTAAGTCATATTTGGCCCAAGGGTTGGAGCAAGTTGAGGTAAGTTTATAACCTAAATTTTGAGTTTTACTCTAAGAATTGGAGTAGGTCTTAGTGATTGTTGATATGAGGGCTTAAAATGCACCACATATTACAAAATGTTCTATAGTGCATTCCTTTCTTACTCGGCCTTGTCTTAGAACTTGAAAATCTGCCACCAGATACAGCCTTTAAGGCTGGAAACTTAGCTCAGAGACTTTGACGCTAATGATGATGGAAGCTTGTAAAAGTGGGCACAGGTTAGCTCTTGTGACTTGTGTGTTTGCTGGAATGTCCATTTGGTGCGATACACACAGGCACTAAACAAAATCAAGATACAAAGTGTTTGTTAGTTATACTTACAGGCATCAAGCCCACTACATATCCAACTGCAATCAACAAATTCAAAATTATCAATAGATGCGAATCTGTCAAATAGTTTTTCCAAGTAATTCAATTAGGAGCGACGTGAGGATGCTAACTAACTAAATTACCTCGTCCTAGCTTTCATCCTTTTGATTTGGCTGGTTCTTGCACGGCAACAATCTCCCCTTCTTCAGGTTCGACATCCTTCAACTCCCTAAGCGAGATAAACAGCAGAAACCATATGGAAGAGGTTAAATGAAATGATAAATAATATAAGACAACCGCGACGTACAAGTTACCATCATAGATGAGAAAAACGAGAGACTTGAAGGAAATTTACGGCGTGAAGCTGCAGTAAATACCAAAATGACCCAACTCATTGGTGTCCACAGTATAAACAGTTGAACGCACGGTCTTGATCATGGGACATCCTTCTTCTCCGGCAATGATCTGAATAGTGGTGATACAAATATCTTGATGAACACAAGAGTACTCGTTGTCTCTAGTCTGGACAAGACAAAAATCCTTGTCTCCCAGATGAACCAACTGCCCTGTCAACTCACTGAATCGAGATGGCTTAAGAGCACTATCCAGGACTTGCAACGGTATGGGTGTGCTTAGTGAACAGGCAATATTGCGACCCTCTTCACCATAACTGATCCCAAATGAGAACACTAGCACTTTATCACAAGATAACGACAAGCCATAGATAGTCTGGTCTACAACCACGGCCCTCCCGACAAAGCCAGTGTGACCAGATGTAACTCGATGCCATTCTTGTGTCTTGATATGAAAAGCATAGATTTTTGATTTGACCCCATTCATGTGACGCAGGGAAAACAAAATCCAGCCGTGACAAACAGCATAACCACATATATACATATAGCGGCACTCTATGTAATACGGAAAATGAGGCAGTGTCTCCCAAGTTTCCTGACCAGGTTTATAACGCTCAAAGGATGGGTTCGGAATGTTTGAGCTGCATTCTGGAGTTCCGGACAAGGGATCTGCAATATGGTAGATGTGTCCATACGCAGAGACAACAGACCCGAGCGGCTTAGGTGTTTTAGGGGCAGGGAATGTTTCAGATGTGGTATCCATGGCACAGTTATATCCAATAAAAGTGGGGGGTTTGGCAGCGTCTGAATCTGAATGTACCATTCGATGTAACTTGGAGTTGGAATTGCTGAAAATCCTTGCACACTGAGAGTGAAGATAAGGAAGCGGCTCCTTCTCGAAGAACTGGTACACAGGTTCTAGATCAAGAGGGACTCCTCCTTGGAGTTTTACTCGATAGACTGCACCTGACAAGTCCATCTCCCAACAATGTGCCACAAGAAACACAGATCTCGTTTCCCCCGACATCTCCGTGGGCAACAAGCTTTTCAAGCACCTTGTGAAAATTTGTACATGGCATTCAAATTAAATTAAATAATTTTTTTTTAAATTTATTTGTTTTCTTGAGAAAGAATACCAAACATCTCATCATCGTGTTGTGTGACCGCCGTATGCCACTGAAGCTCAAGGGAAAATTTTATAGGACGGCAATAAGGCCGGCGATGCTGTATGGCACAGAATGTTGGGCGGTGAAGCATCAACACGTACACAAAATGGGTGTAGCGGAGATGAGGATGCTTCGTTGGATGTGTGGGCACACGAGAAAGGATAAGATTAGGAATGAGGATATCCGGGGTAAAGTAGGAGTAGCCGAAATTGAAGGAAAGATGAGAGAAAATCGGTTACGATGGTTTGGACATGTGCAAAGAAGGCCTACTGACGCTCCGATTAGAAGATGCGACTATGGGACAGAGGTTCAGGGCCGAAGGGGTAGAGGAAGACCTAGGAAAACTTTGGAAGAGACTCTAAGAAAAGACTTAGAGTACTTGGATCTAACGAAGGACATGACACAGGACCGAGCACAATGGCGTTCTAAGATTCATATAGCCGATCCCACTCAGTGACTTGGATTTTCCAAGTCTCCAACCGAGAAGTTTTCCTTACTCAGGAAATTAAGGGAACACTACCTCTACCTACATGCTCCACTCACAAAGCCTCAACAAAAGAAAATTCAAAGAACTTAGCGAAGAAGGCTTTGGTGTTTTTAACACAATACGTTGAAATGAAGGAAAGCTTATTTATTGATATCCCCGATAAGCTACAAATATGTACATATACATAAGTCAAAATAAACAAACAAAAGGGAGCCTTCACAAAGGTTGCTTAGGAGAAGTCTCAGTAGTCGGTAGAGCCCCAGAAAGAGAAGGCACCGGAGGGGGATCATTCGGAGCCTCAGTACTGGACAGAACCCTAGAAGGAGGAGGCATCAGAGGTTGATCATTTGGAGCTTCATTACGCGGTACAGCCCCAGAAGACGAAGGCAATAAATGCCTTTGGAATAAACCCACAAATCTCTGATGATCAAGTAAAACCTGACCATCAGATTCCTTCATCTGGTCAAGCTTCCTCTTCATGTTTGTAGCATAGTCATGTGCGAGTCGGTGCAACTGTTTATTCTCATGCTTGAGCCCTCTAATCTCCTGTTTGAGACTCATCACTTCAGCCGCCAATGATTCAACTTGGCGGGTTCGAGCAAATAGGCGTTGGGCCATATTAGACACAGAACATGCACACTGAACACTGAGAGCCAGAGAATCCTTAACAGCTAACTCATCAGACCGTTTGGAAAGTAGTCTGTTATCTTTAGGAGTGAGAAGGTTCCTGGCCACCACCGCAGCGGTCATATCATTCTTCATCACGGAATCCCCAACGGTAAGAGGACCAGTAGGGGAGACGAAGGATGGACGCCATATGTTGTCAGGAGAAGGCGGGGCTGCCTCTTCAACAAGGTTCAAGTCAAAACGACGGTCGGAGGGGCCAGACATTTTCAAAGGTGTTGAAGAGAGAAGAGGTCGGACAAATCAAGATCTTAGAAGTGCAAGAATGGAGCTTCTACTGGTGGAGATTCAAGTGTGCTTTGGAACTTAATGCCAGCCCCTATAAAAAATCTGCACTCGACGGAGCTTCAGAAATCGAAGAGGCGCCTGCTCAGAAATCGAAGAGGCGTTTGCTTTCTCAAAAGCAAGGCTGCTCAGATACCACGAGGGTCGATCTCAAAAATCGAAGAGGCATTTGCTTTCTCAAAAGCTGGGTTGCGCAAAGACCACAAAGGCCGATCTCAGAAATCGAAGAGGCGCTTGCTTTCTCAAAAGCTGGGCTGCTCAGAGACCACGAGGGTCGATCTCAGAAATCGAAGAGGCACCTACTTTTCCAGCCTTGTCAGCACCTGTCACACGCACACTCAGCTTTGCGGAAATTATGGGCATTCGGTCGAAGACTTCTGGTGAAGTAGAAAGCACATGAGTCTTACTGTTCAATCACCCACTTCCCACATGCAACAGTAGCTCATGGGTACCACAGATAACTTTGCCAAAGTTATCTGCCAAAGTTGAACACGTGAAGTTTGCAGCTCCCACTACATTGCTCTGACCAAGAAGGGTAAAAGAATAGCAAAGAAACAACACTAACAAAGTTTACACATAAATTTTGAAGGTCTAGCTACCATATTATTACCCACAAGGGTAAAGGAACAGTACCACTGCTGGATAATTGGAAAGTCCCTGTGTGTCAACCTCTGTGCTTCATGGCAAGGTAGACTAGCAAACATGCCCAACCTTTAATCACATTCGAGAAAACACTCCCAACAAGATTGCTTGCTCCAAAATCGAAGAGGCACCGTCTTCCTAATCTCGAGAGCCAGACTCCCAACATGACTACTTTCTCAAAAATCGAAGAGGGTAAAGGAACAGTACCATTGCTGGATAATTGGAAAGTCCCTGTGTGTCAACCTCTGTGCTTCGTGGCAAGGTAGACTAGCAAACATGCACAACCTTTACTCACATTCGAGAAAACACTGCCAACAAGATTGCTTGCTCCAAAATCGAAGAGGCATCGCCCTCCGAATCTCGAGAGCCAGACTCCCAACATGATTACTTTCTCAAAAATCGAAGAGACACCGCTCTCCGAATCTCGAGATCCAGACCCCCAGCATGATTGCTTTCTCAAAAATCGAAGAGGCATCGTTCTCCGAATCTCGAGAGCCAGATCCCCGATAGGATTGTTTGTTCGAAAACCGAAGAGGCAACACTTTCCCAACTTCAAGAGCCGGATCTCCTTGGATAAAGCTGTCTGTAATCTTCACACGCAACATCAGCTTTCCAGATACCAAACCACTTTTTCAAAGTGCTCTGACAACGTTAAAACATGTGAAGCTGACAGCTCCCACTACTGTGCTATGACCAAGTAGGGTAAAGGAATAGCATTACTACTTGTTGTTAAGGAGACTCCTATATATGTCGACCTTCATCCCCAACGGACAGGCAGATCTGCAAAAATGCTCAACCCTTCCTCATATCTGAGAGGGCACTCCCAACGAAGCCTTTCGAAATATTCAGCTTTCTTTCCCCCCGATAATACCTCTGCAAACAAGCTATACTAGAGCAAGAATATCTCATATCATCAGGGTTAAAAGCAAGAGTATCCCATATCATGCTTTTTCCCTGTCTTTTCCTTTGACCTTGTTCTTACCTGCAAGACAAGGAGAAAGAGAGCAATCAGTCAGTACTTGGAATCAAGCTTCCAGCCAGGAACTGACTGCCTGGAACCCCTTACCTGATTACTTACCTGACATTGCTCTCGAGTACTCATCTTCAACATCTTATGCTTCCAGGGAAGATACCGCATCTGCCTGAGGAACAGATAGGGCAAGGGAGAAGAATACAAGGAAGCATGTGGAGACAAGCGTAACAGCACACGTGCCGATACATCCATTACTCTGTCAAAGCAAAAGTATCCCATATCAGCAGGGTCGAACGTACTCTAGATTTGATGGACTTGTTTTGACCCTCAAATTCTTCAGTCGGCCTTATACTCTGGAGGAAACCAGAAAACCCTCCAGCTCAGTTCAAGAATAAGCCTGTGGAAAGTTACTTCTTCAAAAGCAAAAGTATCCCATATCATCTCTTCTCATTTTCTTCTCTTTATCTTTCATGCTGCCTGCAAGATAGGGAGACTGTGAACAATCAGCCGGAGCTATGATTGCTTACCTTGTCTGTCACCTCTTTCAGCAGATCCCCTAGCTCGGCGACTTGGGGGACTCCTACTACATGGTTTGTATCGCGCTTGACCAAGCCTGAAACTACAAGTAAGCTTCAAGTGAAATTGATACATTACCTTGTGCATCTCCACCAGTTAAAGATACCACCCCTGGATTGAGGAAGAGTACTTCCATAGAAGATGCCCCATTTACCTATGAGACAGATAAGGCACGTCAATACGATACCACACTCCGATACTTAGAAGTTTCGTGATTACGAGATCATTCTCCCACAATATTTCCTAATGTCATTTGTACTAAATCATTCACTTGTACTCACTAAAGGAGAGCTTGAACCTATGTACTTGTGTAAACCCTTCACAATTAATGAGAACTCATCTATTCCGTGGACGTAGCCAATCTGGGTGAACCACGTACATCTTGTGTTCGCTTTCCTATCTCTATCCATTTATATACTTATCCATACTAATGACCGGAGCAATCTAGCGAAGATCACAAAAAGCGACCGTTTTCGCTACCTAAGATCTATCGTGCAAGAGAACGGAGAATTAGATGGAGATCTCAACCATAGAATACAAGCTGGATGGATGAAGTGTAAGAGTGCATCCGGCGTGTTGTGTGACCGTCATAGGTCACTGAAGCTCAAGGGAAAATTTTATAGGACGGCAATTAGGTCAGCGATGTTGTATGGCACAGAATGTTGGGCGGTGAAGCATCAACACGTACAAAAAATGGGTGTGGCGGAGATGAGGATGCTTCATGGGATGTGTGGGCACACGAGAAAGGATAAGATTGGGAATGAGGATATCCGAGGTAAAGTAGGAGTAGTCGAAATTGAAGGAAAGATGAGGGAAAATCGGTTCCGGTGATTTGGACATGTGCAAAGAAGGCCTACTGATGCTCCGGTTCGAAGATGTCACTACTGGACAGATATTCAGGGCCGAATGGGTAGAGGAAGACCTAGGAAAACTTTGGAAGAGACTTTAAGAAAAGACTTAGAGTACTTGGATCTAACGGAGGACATGACACAAAACCGAGCGCAATGGCGTTCTAGGATTCATATAGCCGACCCCACTTAGTGGGAAAAGGCTTTGTTGTTGTTGTTGTTGTTGTTGTTGTTGTATAACTATTCTCTGCTTTCCTTTTGCAAACTTTGAATGAAATTAAAATAAAATACACAGTGATAAACGAATAAATCATAAGTAATATATTTCCTCAAAAAGTGCCACAGAAAACAGACATTCCTAGTTCAATCAACAAATACACTTTCACAGAGGGAAAAAAAAAAAAAGCTATTAAGAAGACAAAATCGACTAGATCCTTGACCTTGGTCCACCGATAAGCTTGGGGATGCACGTCGGCAGAGAAGGCCGCTGACGGAGCACAATTTAGGGTCAGGGTTAGGGTTCACAACGATAGGTTTGGGGTGGGGATGCACGGCGGCAGCGACGGCCGCGGGCGGCAGCGACGGCCGCGGGCCGAGCGCAATTTAGGATCAGGGTTGGGGTTGCGGCAGCGGCTCGAGTTTAGGGATGGAAATAAAATCTCAATGTCACCTAGAGAGAGGGAGAGTGAAGAGAGAGGCAATAACGTGGGTAGCAAGGAAGAGGGGTGCAAATAAAATCTCCCCAATATTAAGATTAAAAATGATAAGTTGGGTGTAGAGTAAGGATAAATAAGTCTGAATAAAATTTCGCAATATTATTTCAATTAAATAGCCGGTCGAAGTATATATTGCTTTGCCAACAGAACGAATCATGAATGACTTTCCAAGATAAATAAGGGAGTGTTTGGTACATCAGGTTAGACCAATTGATAAGAATTGTGTGCATTCTAGTTCTGAATTCGTTATTTTAAAACATCGTATTGCCTAAGTTATAATTAGTAAGTGGATGTTGGATGCAACTCATAATAATTTTAAAAAAATCGTACAAAAATTCTCGGCGGTAGATTTTCATCCTAAAACTGTTGATGTGACATCAAAACAGTTTTTCAATTGATAAATTTAATCTTAAGAGTTATTGCACCCTTGGAAATTTATTTTGTTTCAACTTCATTGTGTTCTCACATATCTCCTTGAGATTTGAAACTTTAAAATAAAACCCCATAAGCTTTTCACACGATCTTTAATCACAAAATGACGTGACATGAATTATCAAATAAGAAAAAAAATAATCTCACCATGTTAAAAGTTAAAACCATATTTTTACTTCTAGTATTATCTATATGTTCAGGGCCGACCCTGAAAGTAACCGAAAAACCAAAACTACATCTAAAATTCATCAATAAACACGCACAATTATTAATCCAAAGCGACCAAATTTCACAAAAAAAATGTCCAACACACAACAGATTATCAAAATTTAAGAGTAGGTTGAGCAGCCCACCTGGAGAATGGGCGATTGAGCGTGGTCGATGGTCCAAGCCTCGGGGGAGAGGTCCTTTGCAGTCGGAGCCTCGAAGGAGATGGGTCGGCTATACGTCGGTCTCAATCAGAAGGGTGATAGAGGGTGGGTCTAGGGTTTGCACAGACGGTGGATGGGCGATTCGAGTGAGGGGCTAGGGGTGTAGAGACATGGGGTGGGTGCACGAATCACCCTAAATTTGAGGATTGTTCCGGAGATTGAGAGATGGGAGGAGCGGGTCTAAATCGAAATACTGGGGAGGTAGGGTTGTGGTACGCCCAATCGGTAGTAAGAGCTGAAATATTAAATAAATGTAACAGTGCAGAAATTTAAGAGAGTTTTAACGAAAAGCACCGGTACTGTTTATTTTAACGAAAAACCATATTTTTATACTAAAAAATCAATCCTGATACTATTCATTTTACCCTTTATTTTGTCCTTGTCATTAAAACTCAAAGTTTTCAAGTTCTTTTCATTAATTTTCCTGAAATTTAAAGAGAGAAAAGGGAGAAAAATAAGGGAAGAAAACTGCTTTCATTCATCTCTGACCTCTTCTCCACGGAGGCCAGATAAATACATATTTAGGGGTGGGTTCGGTACGGTTACCGTATCAAACTCATTGTACCAATTACTATACCAAACTTTCGGTTTGGTAAAATCTATTACCATTACCGTACCAAACTTTCGGTATACCGAAGTGCGATATTGCTAAAAGTTCGGTTAGCATGGTATGGCAATGGTAATTGCCATTTATTTTGGGACAAAATCTGTTTTTGTTTTTTTAACCCAATTCGAGGGCAAAACTTTTTTTTTGTACCTTTATCTCATACATTATAGATTAAATTCATCTATTATTCATCATTCACAATTCACACACATAATAATTCAAATGATGCATCAAGATTCATCATGAAAATTAAGCTTCAATCCAAATAGAAGTTACGAATCAAAACAAATAAAAGTTAACAATCCAAATATAAATTAAAGTTTCAAACCAAATGAAAATTGGAAGTAAACTTCAAAAAGGAGAATTCATTGATCAATTATTCAAGCTTAAAATGTCGAAACTTTTGGAAGAGGCATTGAACTTGTAGAAGATTGAGTTTGTGTCAAGCCTACATTACAAACAAAGAAAACATATTAATTAGTAGCAAGAATAATTAAAGTTGAAAATAATTTAATAACAAATTTACTAAAAAAATTAAAGCATATCTTTCTTGTTTTCTCTTCTTCCATTTCCTTGTAAAATTGAAGCATATCTTCCGTTGGTTCCTTGTAGAAGTTTAATTTATCTGCCCTAAGCCAACCACTAGTACGCACTAGTGCCTCCATTATTTTAGGAGTCAATGATACCCTAAAGGGTCCACAACCCTCCTCCCTAGGTTAAATGCATTTTCACTAGCAAAAGTAGAAGTGGGGGTTACAAAGATATTTTGGCTATTTGTGAAAGAATTATGAACTCTTTTGTGTTTAATTTCCACAATTTCAAGAGATCAAAGTCGCCAACAACAATACTAATATAAGTAGGTTTTTATTTTCAAATTATTGGAATATTATAAATATGTGTTATATAATTATCTATTATATAATTTCTAAGTTATATATTATATTGTATTTTCGGTATGGTACGGTAATACCGTGGTAATGGTATCCATTACCAATACCGTACCATGAAATTTCTGTACGGTACAATACCGTACCATTACCGATTGATACAAAAAATTTGACACAAAATTGGTATGGCACGGCAATTTGGCAAAAAAATCCACCCCTATACATATTTATATCAAGTCCAAATTGGAAAGAAACCCTAGCTAATTGGGGAAACGCCAGTCGAGCTGTGTCGTTCCAAGAGCCTGGGAAATGGGCTTGAAAACAAGGCAGGGTGATTATTCACAAAAGGGCCCGTACTGGGGGAGAAGTGTTAGGCCCAAAGGGTTGGTTCTAACAGGTTGTTCACCCTAAATTTGGGGATTCGTTAATCAATTCCTTATCTCACTGTTGGATTTGCCATTCAATTACTTACTGTTTAATTTTCCATGGGGGTTTGGGTGCGCGATTACAGGGAGAGAAAGAGAAGGTGGGTGCAGTCATGTTCTCTTTCTAAATCATTCCTTTCCCAATTCTGTTAAGATTTATCTTTAGATTATTTATTTTTCAATAAAGTGGTTGCATGTAGTTAGGAGACCTGTTTACCTAGTCTACAGGAGAATCCATAAGTTGTAGGAGTCATGGTTAGGTTTAATTTTTCATGCTGGAGTCGTGGTATGTAGTTCCACAAAATCTACAAAGTGGACGTTATGTTTCTTGCAGCAGTAGACTTGTTTTCTTATTAAGTTGTAATTTTCTCATTCAAGTTAATTAATGAAATTCAGAGCTTCTTAGCCATCTCTTTAGCAGTAAGCTTAAGTTTACAATTTCAAAAGTTTAACCAACATTTGGTACCAAAGCCCCCACTGGGCCTGTGTCGAGAATCTCTCATAGAAGCAGCAGCTTTTCATCCTTGCAGTAGCAAGCATCCATGGCGTCTGACAAGCCAGCAGAGAATTTCATTCAACCAGCCATTCCTCGCTTCGACGGTCACTACAATCATTGGAGCATGTTGATGGAGAATTTCCTAAGGTCTAAAAAGTACTGGGATCTTGTGGAAACGGGACATACTGTACCCGAAGAAAGTACGATTACGGTTGCGCAGCAACGGAAGCTTGAAGAACTGAAATTGAAGGATTTGAAGGTAAAGAATTACCTATTCCAATCAATTGATCGTGCTATTTTGGAGACTATTCTCCAGAAGGATACTTCCAAGCACATTTGGGACTTCATGAAGAGAAAGTACCAAGGGTCAGCAAGAGTGAAGCATGCACAGCTTCAGGCCCTAAGACGAAACTTTAAGACTCTCCAAATAAAGAATGGAGAGTCTGTCACCGAGTATTTTGCAAGGACCATGGGGATTGCAAACAAAATGCAAATCCATGGTGATAAGCTTGATGATGGCTCCATTGTAGAGAATATCTTAAGATCTATGGCTCCAAAGTTCAACTACATCGTTTGCTCTATTGAATAGTCAAATGACACTGCGGAGATGTCGATTGATGAGCTTCAAAGCTTATTGTTGGTCCATGAGCAGCAGCTGAACCGTGGGACCACATAACATGTCAACTTAGAAGAACATGCTCTGAAAGCTTCTACCTTTTCTGAATCCTCAAGCTCAAGAGGAAGAGGCCGAGGTAGAGGTAGAGGAAGAGGTCAAGGTGGTCAAGGCAACCGAGATGGAGACAGACAACACCAAAGTTCCAAGAGACATGATGATCACTCTCAGAATAGAGGCAAATGACAAGTTGACAAGTCCAACATCCAATGTTATAGGTGTGGAAATCTTGGGCATTATCACAATGAATGCTACACGAATCTACTGAAAGACAAAGAGATAAGAGATAAGTCCAACTTTGCTGAAAAAAATGATGATGAGACACTGTTGATGGCTTTCCACGTCAAGAAGAAGATTGATTCTGAAGTCTGGTATGTTGACACAGGTTGCAGCAATCATATGAGTGGCTGTAAGTCATCTTTCTCATTTTTGGATGAAAACTTTCAAACTACCATGAGCTTTGGGGATTGGTCAAGTGTTAATGTGATGGGAAATGGTGATATTCAAATTAGGACTAAGAATGATTTTGTTGAAACAATTTCGAATGTGTTTTATGTGCCTAGTTTGAAAACAATTTTGTTGAGTGTTGGACAATTACAAGAAAAGGGTTATATAATAACTCTTCAGAAAGATGCATGTGAGATATATGATCCAGTAAGGGGTGTCATTGCTGTTGTTCAAATGAGCCAAAACAGATTGTTTCCGCTGAAGATCAAAATTGTCCAAACTTGTTTGATGGCCAAGGAAGACAACTCATTGTGGCTGTGGCACCTTCGATATGGCCATTTGAATTTCAATGGCTTGATGACACTGCATCATAAGTAAATGGTGACTGGCCTTCCTATGATCACACCTTCATATGAAGTCTGTGAAGAATGTGTTGTTAGCAAACAACATCGTGATCAATTTCCAAAAGGAAAGGCGTGGATAGCTCAAAACCTATTGGAGCTAGTGCATTCAGACATATGTGGTACAATCAGTCCACTATCGAATGGTAAAAAGAACTATTTTATCTCTTTTATTGATGACTTCAGTAGAAAGGCTTGGGTGTATTTTTTTGCAAGAAAAATCAGAGGTTTTTAATGCATTTAAAAGTTTCAATGCACTAGTTGAGACCGAAAGTGGAAGAAGGATCAAAACCTTACGAACCGATCGTGGTGGTGAATATTGCTCAAAAGAGTTTGAAGTTTATTGTGATGAGCAAGGGATTCAAAAGCAACTCACTACCTCATATACACCCCAGCAAAACAGTGAATCAGAGAGAAAAAACCGAACCATTCTCAACATGGTCAGAAGCTTGCTAGTAAAGGGATGAGTTCCTAAAAGTTTTTGGCCTGAAACAGTTTTGTTGTCCATTCATGTTTTGAATAGGTGCCCTACTTTTTTTGTTAAAAACATGACACCTGATGAAGCTTGGAGTGGACGGAAACCTTCAATGGATCCCTGAAGAGGTGGATTATCATCATCATCATCGTCAATAAATAATTTTTTTTTTTTTTTTTGTATAACTATTCTCTTCTCTGCTTTCCCTTTGCAAACTTTGAATGAAATTAAATTGCCACAGAAAACAGACATTCCTAGTTCAATCAACATTTTCACAGAGGAAAAAATAAAAAAAGCTATTAAGAAGACGAAATCGACTAGATCCCCGACCTTGGTTCACCGATAAGCTTGGGGATGCACGTCGGCTGAGAAGGCCGCTAACGGAGCACAATTTAGGGTTAGGGTCAAAGAGTGGAGAAGGCCGCTGGCGGAGCTCAATTTAAGATTAGGGTTGGGGCTGCGGCAGCGGCAGCGGCTCGAGTTTAGTGCTGGATTTGAAATAGAAGGAGAGAGAAGAGAGTGATAGAGAATGTGGGGTGAGAAATTTTATTTATTTATTTTTAATTAGATATATGTTAGGATTATATGTAGGTGTTATTTTGAAAAAAAACAGTAAAATTTGGTGTGTGAAATTACATTTCAGCCCTATATTTACTATTCATGTTCTGTTTTAATTAGAGAGTTAAACTGGTAATTTCATAAAATTTTGGTTGACAATAAGTGTTTTATTAATTAGTATAGATTAACAAGGAAAATGGGTGCGAATAAATGATAAATTAGGTGTAGAATAAAGATAAATAGGTCTGTTCTTCAAAAAAAAAAAAAAAAAAAGGATAAATAGGTCTGAATAAAATATCTTAACATTATTTCAATTAAATAGCCAGTCAAAGTACATATTGAGTAGCCAGCACAACGAATTATGAATGACTTATCATCCCATTAAGAATTATATGAATAATGGATCATCTAGAATCCAAACCTCATTAGGATTTACACATCACTAATATTCATAAAAAAAAAATTATATTTTTTTCCTAATTATATCTTTAATTATTTCTTCTGTTTTTTTTTTTTGTAATCAGGGTTAATCACATATTATTGTGCCTTACTTGTAGATATATTATGTTTTTGTCCTTTTTAATTAGGTTTCATATCTCACTTGTAGATGTATACATTCATATATTTATTATGTTGAGTTAGGGTGTCCAAATGAATTTGTGAGAGCATATTAGTTTTTTGTTTAGAAAATATTAAGTAGATTTATTGGAAATTTTTTTTTGGAAAGATTTATTGGAATTAGAAGATTTTAATTTATTTATAATATTTAAAAAAAAAAATATATATATATATATATATATATATAAAATGTATATGAAAGAAATAAAAGTGGATAAAAGATAAATTAACAGGACGAACAAAGCCACCAGTTCATCTGAAAATGCAAAAATGCTCATACAAAAACATAATTTTTACAGATTTAAGTAAGTCCCAAGTAAAAAAAATTGAAATGGAGATAATTCATAAGCAACTCTTACGAAATATTGTCGTTGCAATGATTAAAGTAATTCAGAAAAGCATCCCGCTCCGGCCAGTAAGTGTTCCGAGTACTCATTAGTTGCGAAGCATGTTCCTAAAATGCATTAGCTCCTTCTTGAATTCAGAACAGCTAACAATCCCAAGTTTCCTTTGGACATTGATTAATCGGAGCTGATCGCCCCCAATGACATAGTTCGTCATTTCTTCAAGCTCTTCGTGAACGTAATTTGCCAAAAAGAGAATACAAATAACCCTCGGTAAGTTTCTGCACAGAATCGTAAGCAACTACAAATATTAAAATTATATTGAAAGAAAAAGGTAAAAAAACGAAGAGAAACAGAAACCTACGAAATATTTGTGTGCCAAAGAGGCACAAGGAGTCCAGTCCCATCATTAAAATTTCTTCGATGGGCGTCATAATTTTGGTCTGCCTACACCTATTCAAACCAGTTCAGGTGAGGTCAATGACTTCTTGAGATTATGTGTGTTTCTAGTAATGACAACCGCGATGTACAAGTTACCATTATAGATGATAAAAATGGGAGACTTGAAGGAAACTTAGGCCGTGAAGCTGCAGTAAATACCAAAAGGACCCAACTCATTGGTGTCCACAGTATAAACAGTTGAATGCACGGTCTTGATCATGGGACATCCTTCTTCTCCGGCAACGATCTGAAAAGTGGTGATACAAATATCTTGATGAACAAAAGAGTACTCGTCGTCTCTTGTCTGGGCAAGACAAAAATCCTTGTCTCCCAGATGAACCAATTGCCCTGTCACTCACTGAATCAAGATGGCTTAAGAGCACTATCCAGGACTTGCAATGGTATGGGTGTGCTTAGTCTACATGCAATATTGCAACCCTCTTCACCATAACTGATCCCAAATGAGAACGCTAGCACTTTATCACAAGTTAACAACAAGCCATAGATAGTCTGGTCTACAACCACGGCCCTCCCAACGAAGCCAGTGTGACCTGATGTAACTCAATGCCATTCTTGTGTCTTGATATGAAAAGCATAGATTTGTAATTTGACCCATTCATGTGACGCAGGGAAAACAAAATCCAGCCGCGACAAACAGCATAACCACATATAAACATAAAGCGGCACTCTATGTAATACGGAAAATGAGGCAGTGTCTCCCAAGTTTCCTGACCAGGTTTATAACGCGCAAAGGATAGGTTCGGAATCTTTGAGTTGCATTCTGGAGTTCCGGACAAGGGATCTGCAATATGGTAGATGTGTCCGTACGCACAGACAACAGACCCGAGCGGCTTAGGTGTTTTAGGGGCAGGGAATGTTTCAGAAGTGGTATCCATGGTTATATCCGATAAAAGTGGGGGGTTTGGCAGCGTCTGAATCTGAATGTACACTGAGAGTGAAGATAAGGACGCGGCTCCTTCTCGAAGAACTTCTACACAGGTTCAAGTAGATCAAGAGGGACTCCTCCTTGGAGTTTTACTCGATAGACTGCACCTGACGAGTCCATCTCCCAACAATGCGCCACAAGAAACGATCTCGCTTCCCCCGACATCTCCGTGGGCAACAAGCTTTTCAAGCACCTTGTGAAAATTTGTACATGGCATTCAAATTAAATTAAATAATTTTATTAAAATTTATTTGGTTTTCTTGAGAAAGAATACCAAACTTCTCATCATCATCATCATCAATAAATTAATTAATTTTTTTGTTTAACTATTCTCTTCACTGCTTCCCCTTTTGCAAAAATTGAATGAAATTAAAATAAAATAAAGAGTGATAAACGAATAAATCATAAGAAGTATAAATCCTCAAAAATTGCCACAGAAAACAGACATTCCTAGTTCAATCAACATTTTCAGAGGAAAAAAAATAAAAAAAAGCTATTAAGAAGACGAAATCGACTAGATCCCTGACCTTGGTTCACCGATAAGCTTGGGGATGCACGTCGGCAGAGAAGGCCGCTGACGGAGCACAACTTAGGGTTAGGGTCGAAGAGTGGAGAAGGCCGCAGGCGGAGCGCAATTTAGGATTGGGGTTGGGGCTATGGCAGCGGCTCAAGTTTAGGGGTGGATTTGAAATAGAAGGAGAGAGAGGAAGTGAGTGATAGAGAATGTGGGTTAGGAAATTTTATTTATTTATTTTTAATTAGAGATATATTAGAATTACATGTAGATGTGATTTTGAAAAAAACAGTAAAATTTGATATGTGAAACTATATTTTTGCCATATATTTCTTATTCATGTTCTGTTTTAATTAGAGGGTTAAACTGGTAATTTCATAAGATTTTGGTTGACAATGAGTGTTTTATTGATTAGTATAGATTAGCAAGAAAGAGGGGTGCAAATAAAATCTCCCCAATATTAAGATTAAAAATGATAAGTTGAGTATAGAATAAGGATAAATAGGTCTGAATAAAATTTCCTAATATTATTTCAATTAAATAGCCAGTCGAATTACATATTGAGTTGTCAGCACAAGAAATTATGAATGACTTATCATCCGATTAAGAATTATATGAATAATGGATCATCTCAAAAGAATCCAAACCTCATTAGGATTTACACATCACTAATATTCATAAATTTTTTTTTATATTTTTCCTAATTATTTCTTCTGTTTTTTATTGTATGTTTTTTTGTAATCAAGGTTAATCACATATTATTGTGTCTTACTTGTAAATATTTTATGTTTTTGTCCTTTTTAATTAGGTTTCATATATCCCTTGTAGATATATACGTTCATATATTTATTACGTTGAGTTAGGGTGTGCAAATGAATTTGTGAGAGCATATTAGTTTTTGTTTAGAAAATATTAAGTAGATTTATTGAAGAAAAAAAATTTCGAAAGATTTATTGGAATTAGAAGATTTTAATTTATTTCTAATATTTAAAAAAAAAAAATATATATATATATAATGCATATGAAAGAAATAAAAGTGGATAAAAGATAAATTAACAGGAGGAATAAAGCCACCGGTTCATCTGAAAATGCTCATACAAAAAGCATAATTTTTACAGATTTAAGTAAGTCCCAAGTAAAAAAAAAAGGACAAGAACACAAGTCCTTCAACTCTCTGCACATCATGTACTTAAGCTGTTGCGACATCAAACCGAAGGCAGGACTCCGCGTTATCCGGTGATTCGAATCCTTGGTATACCATACACAGAATTCTCCTAAATCAAAATATGTACAGAAGATGATGAGAGTGTATATTTGCAGCCGGACCAAAACTTTGATTTCCGTTTGATGACGATGCCTCCTATAACAAACCCTGTTTTGCAAGATCTTTCCCAGCTGATACACCAAAGGGGAAAACATGGTAAGGCGTACGCAACAGCAGAAGACAAGATCAATCCAAGTCTCTCAATCGGGAATTGGAAATGTATAAACAGATTATGTCACTTACAACTCAGTTAACAAGAAAAACCGAAAGAAATTGACGCGAGCATTGAATCGCTCTCGACAACCATTGTCTTTTAACTTCAATCTCGCTACAAGAAAAACCGCGATTTCTAAATACTCTAATTGGAAATGGTTATGAGATTTCCAATTCGGAGCCATATACTGTAATGCATTTGACAGACACTCTATTTTTCCATTCTACAAATCGACATTTTCGCTCCTTATAAGACTAAAACAGCACATCTTTATATAGAGAAGCCAATGCTATCTGGTTGCCACTTTTAGTTCACAAAATTTTTCAGCAAAACGGCATCGGAACTCGCAGAATTGGTCACAATTGGTACATTGAACATGAAGTAATGGTAGCAGTGATTAATCGAAGTTAACAAAAGCCTCACCTTTTGAATTCGGCAACACCAGGACAACCTGCATGGTCACATTGTTCGGGGGAAGCTGCAATCGAAGTGGATAGAGCTGGTGATTCAAAGGGCTTCGAGCACAAACGATGATCCCCTCAATCCCGGTTTCCTCCTCGAGCTTACGAGTCAACTCATCAACCCCAATTCCTTTAAAAGTCATAGAGTAGCCCTGCACTGCTTCATCACCCACATCGCCGTTATCTTCAGCTATCTGGTAATATATAGTCCTCCCCTCCTTCGGCGGCGACTCCACATAAGAATCACTCGACTGCAATTTATAATTCATCAAATTAAATTAGATTAAATCGAAGAAAAAAAAATCCAACTTTAAGAAAACCCAATTCAGAAACAAACCCCTTGTCTTGAAAAATGGCTGGATTTGACGGAAGCGGCTGATGGGGAGCTGGAATCGAAATCCAGAGAATCAGAATGGGGAAGCGGCGGCGGTCCGGTGGGCCACGCAGCCGGAGAGTTGGTACGAATCTCGACAACATCGATATCCCACAGAACCCAATCTTGCGTTGCGGTTCTGTGAGGAATGTCGTGAGTCACCGAGTTCCGCCACGGCGGCAGTCCCCCATTGGCTCGGAGGAAGTTGCCGTACCGGGTCTTGAGCCGGACCTGCTTGCAATCCTTGACGGGCTCCCACTCGACCGAGGAGTCGAGCCGCTGCGGCAGAGTCTGCAGCACTTTCTGGCCAGTCATCCCGAGGAGGAAGGGCTGGTTGGAGGCGGTGAGGTACTTGCCGAAGCAGCTCTTGAGCCGGATGATGTGGTCGGAGTCGGACACGAACTCGACGGTCCACCGGGCTCTCTTGGATGACCCATTTCTCTCCTGGGTGACGGATTCCTCGTCCTCCTCGGCCAGGAGGTACTTCTCGAGGTGGCTGCGGAGACGCACCGCCTTGGCGTTGCGGAAGAAGTCCATTCCGATTCGGAACTTGTTGGTATTCATCTGCGGAAAAATGGTATCGGATTAAAAAATCGGAAGATCTAACGGATTTTTCGGTTTCTGAAAATCTAATTCGGACAAGCAAATGTGGAGTGTACGCTTTGAAGATGCGATGAATTTGAACTTGTACTGGTCAAGTAACGACAAACGCCAGTGGCTCCCATCACCTACCGCGTGATTGGCCACGCGATTGTGTACACGTGTCGCTCACGTGGCCTAATCTCTTTATGGGTTCCGCGTGGAGAGCCTCTGAGCGGCCGACTTCCCTTCATGGGCCTGGCCCGAGTTCTTTTTCTTATTCTTAATTATGATTGATATAGGATGCATCAGAAGCAAATTACACATAGGGTCACCAAATAAAACAAACCTAGAGTCACATTCAAAACATGGACAATATGGGGATGGGAGTTCCTAGGGAGGAGTATGCGATAGAGATCTTCTTTGGATTTCATTGTTCGGAGTCTAAGAATCAGGCAATTCAGATCATTCAGATGGAATTCGACAGTTCTACTAACTCATTTTACTGATCCACCTCACACAAACTCAGAGCTCCAATCTTTTTTTCACACTGACCAAGAGTCCGAATTTTTTAGTCAAATCTAGATACTAAGGTCTGAAGAAGATCCAAATTGGCAAATATGTTCTTGAAATTACCATCTTCCCTTTTGGTTAAATTAATAAGAATGCTGATTTAGTTAGGTCCATTCTATGTGAATAACTTCGTGACAACGCAAACTAGTAAATTTTTATTTCCCAAAAAAAAAAAGTTAATTTATATGAAAATTTATTAGATTTGCAGTGTCATGAAGTCATTCACATAGACTTGAGTTGACTAAATCTTTCAAGTGATAGGTTTAATGATAAAATGAGAGTAGTTAAGATACCATTGAAAATTTTCACTTTTTTTTAATTTATGGTAGCACGCCTAACTAGCCCAAAAAATATCACACATGTAAGCCAACCTAAAAATATCGAATCCGTGACAAGTAAAATCTACCAAGTCTTTTCTTAATAGGGGTGTGTTATCCACACACCTATTTTTACTTTTCACACACCCCTTGTTAATTTATGTCCGTTGATCTTCTTTATTTCATCTGATCCGACGACCGAAAATTAGAAGGGTGTGTGAGAAATAAAAAGGGGTGTGTGGATATCATACCCCTCTTAATATATTTTTGTAGGTGAGGATAGAATTGTCCACTTCCACTACAAAAGTGTATTGTCTATTTCATGACACGTGTACAATAGAATATGGCACGATGAGGGATCGAGAGGAAAGGAGTGAAAACTTGACCAAATGTGATGTGTACTAATAAAGTAGTGCGCATTAAGTTGTAGTGGGGAAGGGTTGGTGACATAGTATGTGCATTTTTGAGATTATATTGCAATTAGGGAACTAAATTCCATCAACTTCAATAGATATACGGAAATGGTATTGTGTTTAGTAGCTACTTAAATATATGTTTACACGCCAGTTGCAATCAAACATTGCTAATTATGGCTAAATCACGTGCTAATTGATGATAGGTCCGTCTTATTTTCTCGAGATGTTTTATTATGGTGCTGGTTTGTGTCACTAGTGAATACACACATTATCTAAACATATACTCTGTGTTTAATATTTAAAAGTATCTTAAAAGTACAAACTTCGTAACATGTAAGTTTATTTCATATCTTAAAGGTACTTTATGATTTGATTCCTAACAATTTCTTGTGGAAAATTTTAAATAGACAAATAAAAGTTGCGCAATACATGCATCAAATGAGTCAATGTCTTTTTGCCCAAAAATGCAAGATTCCTCACTCAATTAGGAATTAGGAGTGTACACTCTACATGCATGTCCAATCACCAAACATTATAACATTCCATTGCCTAAATGCATGACCACATAATTTGATTCAACCACTAAGCATTTTTAGGATGAACCAACAATTTATCTGACGATTAATTAAGAGAAGTTGTGGAGCCAAAAATATTCACAAGGCGACACGTGGGTTTTTTGGACAAAAAGGAAAAAATACCCTTGCAGTACAACGAGGTTCCTATGCGCAAACAGCGGGCAACCCTCTTTCAACCAAGACAGAAGTGCCCAAAATAGGTAACAATTCAAAGTCCATCTCATCAAATCCTTTCTACAAGGTAATTCCCAAACACATTCTTTTTAAATTACGTTAATTGGCTAATTAATGGGTTTATTGCCTAATTAACCCATTAATTCTCAATTAAACCATCCATTATATCCAAATAACCACAAAATACAACCAATTCAACCCTAAAACATCATATGGCCGGCCATCCCCTTAAGCTTTCTACATTCCCTATCTTTTCCCACTTTACTACCCCAATTAAGCTAGCTAATTGATTCTATAACCATCCATTTATTCCCTTTATGTTTAATTAGCAAATTTATCATAATAAATTGGCTAATTAAACCTAAATTAAACCTAAAAACCCTAGCCACCTCCTATCCCTATAAATATACTCCCATTCTCACCAAAAAGCTAATTCCAACACTTTGGCAAAAATCCCAAAATTCTCTAAACATTCTTTCTCTCTAAATTCTAACTTTGGCATCGGAGGTTCTTCTGCCAAAACCCCCCCATTCATCGTGGGCGCGTGAGGCTCTTGGCCTTAACCTAAGGTGTTAATTGTTTTGTAGGTGCAAAATCGTCCAAGATCGAGGAGGAAGAAATTTGCATCCACATAAGTGATTTACACAATTTTATTTATTTTTATCACGCATTTATTAATTTTTATTTTATAGTTGTTTGATTGAAAAATAATTAAAAACCAAAAAGAAAACATGAGTGTGAAAAGGAAAAAATGGAAATGTGACAATGGTTAATCAGAGACGATCAACATGGTATGTCATGATCAAACAAAGATGCTTGATTAAAATTTAATCACGATTAATAAGACTAATTAACTAAAATTAATTAAGCAAAAACTAAACATACCTGCTTAGCCAGGTTTTTCGACGACGTCTTCGTAGTCATAACCATGTTTTTCAACGACGGCTTAGGAGACATAATTCTAGGCGACCTGGTCGAAAACACCGAAAGGGGCGACCCGTGCTCCGACCCGTTAGGCTCGTCGGAAAACGACGAAAAACTCGACTGCTGCGACAGCAAGAAGTCAGTCAACGACTCTGACGCCGGAACCTCCGCCTCCAGAACGTCCCACAAAATCCAGTTCTGGGTGGTTGACGTGGTGGGGTCGTCGTGAGTGAGGGAGTTTCGCCACGGCGGCGGCCCACCGTTGGCGCGCAAGTACTTGCCGCACCACGTCCGCAGCTTGACCTGGAACCCGTCCCGTATGGGCTCCCACTCGAACTTCCAGTCGACGAGCTTGTCGGCCTCCGCCTGGAGGACTTTCTTACCGGTCATGCCGAGGAGGAAGGGGAGGTCGGTGGCGGTGAGGTAGAGGCCGTGGCAGCTCTTGAGACGGATGGCGTGGCGTTTGTTCTCAACAAGCTCGACCGTCCACCGGGCCTTTCGGGAGGTGCCGTTCCGGCTCTGGCGGACGGACTCCATGTTGTCGTCGGCGACGAGGTACTTGTCGAGGTGGCTTCGCAGCTTGACCGCCCTGGCGGTGTTGAAGAACTCCATGATTGATGGTCAAAAAATGAGATTGTGGATGCGGATGAAAATTGACTATGAGTATAGTATGTGAAATTTTTAGTCAAATTGGGGTTTGGGAAAAGGGTGGCTGTGTTGGGTTTTGCTTGTTGGTATTAAACTGCTTTTCTAGATGGTTTATATTACTCGTTTGGGATGGACAACGTAGGAAGCACTTATGCTAGAAGAGTTTTTATGGTAAACGCGATAAAACAATGCGTTAAAGTTAAATTGAAGTGTTTATGATAATTAGTAGGAATAACCTGTTACATGTGTTTAATAAAGATTACATATTTATCACACGTGATGATTAAACGATGATATAACAATCATGCAACGATGATATGATGACAACATAATGAACATTAAGCATTTCTGCAATCAAATATAAAAAACTTATCACTCCTACTAATTAAAATTTATAAAATTTAAGCATAAAAAATTCAAACTCAATTGCATAGAGTTAGAAAACGGTATTTTCACTTCTTAAAACAAATAGACACTTAATTGGAAGATTACTATAGTCAAGCACTTGGATTACGCAAGAAGAAAGATGAGAAGGAAATGACGATAAGGGACTTTGGTGATGGCCCACGAAATTTCCCGGTGGCTGCAATTCATTGACGAGTCGAAGAAGTTGGGCTCACGTCCTATGTATCGGAATTAGGGTTAGGGCTCATGACTATTGATGGCTTCAATAGAGACTGGTTTTGTCTTGGAATGGCAACGCGTACGAGGGCGTTTGTCGTATCATCTAGAAGTTCATATTCGTGGACCGACCAGATTATTTTGGACAATTCTTCGCATTGCAGTCAGTCGGTAAAATATTTTCGAACCCCACTCCTTTTCTACCAACAAAATATTTATGATATTTGACCAAAAAAAAAAAAACATAACATTTATGATATTCACATACTACATTCTTTGTTTCTAACGATAATTTATCTCGTACCAAAAATAATAAGAACTAATTCATGTATCTTTGTTTACCACATATTAAAAAGATTCATGCATTTCTTAGTTTCTCAAAAAAATTCATTGTACCATATCAATATTCCCTTCAATTGTCCATTTTAAACTAGAGAGTGTAAGAATCATTTTGGAAATGTTTTTAAAACGACTAAAAGAGTTTTAGGGAAAATGTTTTTGGATTCTAAAAAAATTTAAAGTGTTTGCGGCAAGAAGCATCTGTTATGTGCTTATTGTAGGAATCACTTCAAGTGATTTTCCAATATTAGTTGTATTTTACTAAAGATTGGTTTTAAAAATATTTTCACAAAAAACACTTTTAGCAATTTTAAAAGTAGTTCCAAACGAATCCTAAATACAATAGTAAGATACACTACTATGAGCATTTTAATGCAAAAATTGAAGTCGACTTCTGCAATACAATGTATATATCAAATGTGACTATACAAGTTCTAACTGATTGCAACTCAAACAACTTAATAATTAAAATTATTTTTTATTACAAACAATACTCTAAATTAATTTATACTAATATGAGTTAGAGAGAATTTGAAATCGTGACGCATAAAAGGCTCTCAACAACCAGATTAGTCCACTACGTGCCGCTAGTCTAAACAATTAAACAAAAGAAAAATATAACAAATACGAAAAATAAACCGAGAAATGAAAGTGACATGGGCCATGCAGTTTTAGTTCGTGCATTGCAATCCTATCAACGTTTTGTATGGGTCATACATATTGTTGTCTCAAGGAACGAAAGTTATACTGGGCCATTAATAACGGGATGGGCTTTCACGTTGATCCAGACGTGGGCCTACCTCAGGCTTGAAGTAAAATGACTGGAACTCCCGTCCTTTTAACGTAGAGTATCTCCAATGGTGCAGACAAACCGGAAATATAATATGCAAAATTGTACTAAACCTCTGACATTATCTAATTGGAAAGGGATTGGAAAGGGATCCTCTCCGGATACCTTCCATCTAATCCTGCTTATCAAACAACATGAATCCTTGAAATTTGATCAAACGGCTAAAGTTATTATAACTTTTCAAGTTGACCCGTGTTTTTAGCCGTTGAATTAAATTTCAAGGGCCCTGATTGTTTGATGAGGAAGATTGGGTGGAAGGGATCCGGATATGATCACTTTCCTAATTTTTCGTTAACATGTCAAATGACAACAATGTAAACCAATAAAAATACGCCACATGAAAGTTAAATATAAAAAATAGGTAAAACAGCAAAATTAATATAAATGCTAGATTATACCGTTAATCAAATAAACATTTTCTAATTCATAAAGAAAATAAAAGAAAAACTTGAAAAAAATATATATAAACACCACGTCTCTCCCTCCATCGGCCGCAGCCCTAAACACCCACACCAGAGGGACCTAGTTTTTTAAGGGGTGTGATATCCACACATCTTTTTAATTTTTGGACGTTAGATCAGATGAATTAAATAAGATCAAATGACATAATTAATAAGAAGTGCGTGAGAAGTAAAAAGGAGTGTGTGGATAGCACACCCTTTTTTTTATTGTTAAGAACAATTAATTATCCACAGTTACAGACAAGGATCCTCTCCGGATCCCTTTTGTGGGATTCGGGGATCAATGAATAGTATCTGTTCATTATACGTCGTGTGATCAGTTTTTGTTAGGTACTATTTATATTCAATTTTAAAATGATTTCTAATCGCATGAGTTACGATAAATGAACACGATTAATTGATCATCCGAATTCGCATAAAGAGAATCTAAAGAGGATCCTATTCCTGCAATTACAAACCTCTTTTTTTTTTCTTTTTTTTTTAACATCGACAGTACAAAACAGCTACAAACTTCATTATTGATAAGAATCCTTGCATATATAAAGCAAAATTGTGTCATGATTGAATTAATCAAGCAGTAATAAAATGGCAATCATTTTGAATCGAGAGATCCGAAGCTTCTGTTAATAATACCAAAGTAATTTCAGAGCTTAAAAAAGTTAAAGTATGTATGAATGTGATGTGACATTCTATAAAGATAAAAGTAAAAGCATTATTCACCATGGGAAATGAAAGGCAAGAGAATAGAAGAACAGGAAAAGGAAAAGGAAAAGGAAGGGAAGAGGTTTAATGGAGATAAAGGTAGACTACTTGGTTGTAATTTCAACTTCGAGAAATATAAAGATTGTTATAGCATATTTGAAATTTTTAATTGTTGGATCTTTGATCACAATAATTAAAATTTGCTTGTAGAAGACGTTTTACTGCATGAACGCAAAACAATTATGTCTATGATATTTTACCATGTAGTTATACCCTAAACCTTGATTGCCACCACGAATAAAAAATACGTTGCCATAAACTCATTGTATATCTCTATTAATTAATAAAATCCTCTTTGTCAGCCAAAAGAGAGTGAAAAGATAAATTAGTCTTTTATCACAAAAAAAAATGATGGGCAATAATGTAATTTCATAGATCAAAATTTTACTATTTTTTATTGAAATCTCACCTACATGTGATGTTAAAATACCTCAAATATTAAAAAAAAAAACCAAAAACAAAAACCTCTCACTTTCCTCACGTTCTCTCTCTCTCTCTCCTTCTCATTTTCTAAAAAAATATACTCTCGGTGGTGCAAAAATACGAAGTTTAGGTGGGATATTAAGCTTCCACGATTTATTAAGCACAGAAGTTTTAGCGTTGATTGCTAACGGTTAGCTGACTATACTCTACCTCTGTGTAAGCGAGCCTGCGTCCCTGCGTTTGTCAACCTGCTTGCCGCGGCGGGGCGGCTTTTTTGTTACACAATAATTCACATAAAGGCTATTGCTATATGGGAATGGATTTCTTTCTTTGTTTTAGGTAGTAGGGGTGGGCTTTCCTATGGTCGTCCGCTGTGGCCTCAGACTGTCTGTCCTCTCTCATCTTAATTTGGCTGTACTTGTATGTAGCTACCCTCCACATGATAACCTTTTTATTCTAAAGGCTAAAAAGGCTCTCATCAGTTAGCTCGACCACTTTCATGTTTCCAATTTGTGTGAGATATCTTTCTTCGATTCTAGTTAAGTGTGGCAGCCTCAACAGTTAACTAAGGGTTGATTTGGTATTGCTGTATTTTGAAAAAAAAATTGATTCTGCTGTGCTGTGAGAATAAACAGCTGTGAAATAAAGCAGCAGAGTGTAACATTTTTTGTAAAAGTGCTTTTGAAAAAAAAAATAGTATTATAGTGTTTGATAAACTTTTATGTAAAACAGATGTGAAAAAAAACTGATTTTTCAAAGCTGGGTTTTGCAGTTTTGTGTTTTTAGCTTTTTTTTCACCTAAAATTATGAAAAAAAGCTGAAGCTAATAGCCATTTTTTTTCAGAATCAGGTGGCAAACTATGGTTTCGAACCAGAGACCTTTAGTTTTTAGTTTGAATGAAACTTCGCAAGCTACCATTTACCATTAGATCATTAGCTCGTGATTAACATTGTCTAAACTAGGATAATTTGAATTATTATTTTTACTGTAATCTCGTGAATACATATCGTCCAATACTTATAACGTTAAATGCTACGTAACGTAAAACTCAAACTCATAATGAAAAACTCTTTCACCATTATTCAACCCACCTCGATCACCACTATTCACCCGCCAGGTCCACCACCGCTTTCGAGTTTTTTTGTCCTCTCTCTCGATCTCCACCTCACTTCACGTGACCCTCGGATTCAAAATCTCAATTTTTTTTCTCTCATGACTGCTGAAACTTCACTCTTTCCCTTCCCACTCCCATTCCCTTCCACATCCATGCCTCCACCACCACTACCACCATACTCCGTCGCGCTCTCAGTCCTGATCCTCCTAACACTCTACTCAGCTGCCACCGCCGCCCACTCATGTTTCCCAAAACCATCGTCCTTCTCCACATTTTCATGTCCACCATTCACTTCACCGCCGCCGTTCCCCTTCTCTTCTTCACCAGGATGCGGCCACCCTTCTTTCCAAATCAAATGCTCTGCCCCCCACTCCACCATCTCCATCAATAACCTCTCTTTCTCTCTCATCAGCTACGATCCCATCGCCTCCTCGCTTCTCCTCTCTCCCCACACCACCAACTCAACAGTCACAAACTGCTCGTCCTCTAACTATCCTTCCATTCCTAGCCGCTCCATCAACATCTCCGCCACCCCATTTCGAATATCCGACGCCTCCTGCTCCCGCCTCTCAGTTCTCAAGCCTTGCTTCTCGCCAAATCTTCCCAACTGCAGCCATTGCCCTTGGGACTGCAAGCTCATCAAACACCCACTCAAGCTTCTCAACGACTGCGGATCTCCGCACCGCCCTGTCACCCAGCAGGGCTGCCACGACGACGTCTTGAGCTTTCTCGACGATTTCCTCAAAATTGGGATCGAGCTGGAGTGGGACGAAGCACAAGACTCTTACTTTTCCAGCTGCAGAGCATGCAAGTCCAACAATGGCTTCTGCGGCTTTAACTCCTCCGACCCAATTAAGCAATTCCTCTGTTTTTACGACGAAACTCACCTCACGCCGCCGTGGATTAGCAAAGACAACCCGAATCGAATCACCATCTTGTCGTCCGTGTTCACATTGGCTTGCTTCCTACTCGTCGTCTCTGTTGTCATAGCCGTCTTCAGGTCCAAAAGATTAAGCTCCGCCGCAACAGAAGAAGACCCAACAGCTCTGTTCCTCCACCGCCACCGCTCCGCCAACCTCCTCCCGCCAGTTTTCACATACGAAGAGCTTGAATCCTCAACAAACCAATTCGACCCGAAACGCAAAATCGGGGACGGTGGGTTCGGGTCTGTATATCTGGGTCAGCTCTACGACGGCAGAGTCGTCGCCGTAAAACACCTCCACAAACCCCTCCGCGGCGCCGCCGCATCCGGTAAAGCCTTCTCCAACAAATGCTTCTGCAACGAAATCCTAATCCTCTCCTCCATTGACCACCCAAATTTAGTCAAACTCCACGGCTACTGCAGCGACCCGAGAGGCCTCCTTCTCGTCTATGACTACGTCCCCAACGGCACCCTCGCGGACCACCTCCACGGCCCCAAGAGCCTCTACCGGAAAGGGTCGATGACGTGGCAGGTGAGAGTCGACATTGCTCTGCAAACCGCAATGGTTATGGAGTACCTGCACTTCTCGGTGGTGCCACCGGTGGTCCATAGAGACATAACGTCGTCGAATATCTTCGTCGAGAAAGATATGCGGATTAAAGTCGGGGACTTTGGGCTTTCCAGGCTCTTGGTTTTCCCCGAAAGGACGTCGTCCAGTTCCGGGTACGTTTGGACCGGCCCGCAGGGTACGCCTGGGTACTTGGACCCGGATTACCACCGGTCGTTCCGGTTGACCGACAAGAGTGACGTGTACAGTTTCGGTGTCGTTTTACTGGAGCTGATTTCGGGGCTGAAGGCGGTGGACCAGCGGAGGGACAAGAGGAAGCTGGCGCTGGCGGATTTGGTGGTGCAGAAAATCCAGACGGGCCTGCTACACCAGGTGGTGGACCCGGTTCTGGTTGTCGACGGGGACGTGTCCGACGGCGTGTATGCGGCGGCTGAGCTGGCGTTCAGGTGCGTTGCAGCGGATAAGGACGACAGGCCGGACGCCAAGGAAGTGGTGGAGGAGCTGAAGCGGATCAGGAGCCGCACACGTGGGGTGTCCCGAGCTTCGAGTTCGAACGTGATGGGTGAGGACGTGGCAAAGGGATGATTTGATTGGACGACAGGCCGGACGCCAAGGAAGTGGTGGAGGAGCTGAAGCGGATCAGGAGCCGCACACGTGGGGTGTCCCGGGCTTCGAGTTCGAACGTGATGGGTGAGGACGTGGCAAAGGGATGATTTAGGCCCCGTTTGGGATTGAGGTGATTTTAAAAAAAGCCACTGTGAAAAAAAGCTGAGGGTCATTTTTGTGTTTGGTAAACTGAAAAAAAAGGGCTTATTTTGGAAGCTGCTGTGAAAATAAGCTGAAAATCAAAGGAAAAGCTGAAGCTGCTATTTGTTGCTTTGAAAAAAAGCCAGTTTTTTCAAAGCACACAGAGCTACAATGCTCCTTTAATGAAAAAGACACACTATCATCCCTGATTTTTTTTCAAAAGCACACAAAAAAGTTTACCAAACACTCTACTGGCTTTATTTCACAGCCGCTTATTCTCACAGCACAGCCGCTTATTCTCACAGCAGCTTTTTTTCAAAGCACAGCAATACCAAACCAGCCCTTAATTGGACGTGTGTGGGGCCCGTGGGCGTGGCGTGGGGTCTGGTGTGCATGTGCGGGTTTTGACCGACAACTGAAGTCACCTAAGTGAAAGAGTGAGGGGCAAGTCAGAGATGGTTGCGACTTGTGAATGCAGGGAGAGATTTGTGTTTGGTTAAACTTTGGAACTCCCCTCTGCTTTTCGCCTGCTTCTGGCTTTTACTCTCTCTCTCTCTGAATCCTAAACCGCACATCTATCTTTCATTGTTTATATGTGTCATGTATCGAAGCATTGTAATAAATGTGATTTCTAGCATGGAATTTTCAATTTTGGTTTCCCAATTAATTTGTCTACGAAAGTGGAGAATTTTAGCTATCACGAATTTATATTCCCGTTATCAAGTTAAGGGAACAAGAGAGATGTGTGGACTGGCGAGCGTATAAGTTGTATGAAAGTGTCTAACCATCATGCTGGTTCCCGTTGTAAACACATAATTGCAAAAGAAAGAAGCATCAACTAACTGTTTCCAAAGCAGGAAACTAGGTTGTTCTTTTAGTTGAAACAAAATGTAAATATTTGTTCATGCTGCACGAGAATGCCATGTAGATGGAACATTGGAAGTACAATGTAATGTTGAAAGATAGTACACATAATACAGGGGACACATACAACACCTGGTTTTCTCACTCCAAGGTCATGGAGATGTGCAAGTGTTCGGCTTGGCTGTGATATCTTACTGGTTACGGGAAATATGCATTCTCCAAACGCTTGGCTTCCTCACTTGCAGTTGCTGCCTCCTCTTCCCTGCCTGCCAGTTTATAGCCTCTCTCCTGCAAGCAAGACATGAAGCCGTTACATGAAACTGTTCGGATTGAAATCGTTCCTACTGCTCACATTCTAATCGAGGATTACGAAGCTAAAGTACGTCATTTAGTATGGCAGATGTATATACCAGCAGGCGCCTAAGGAAGGGGATACCCTCTCTTGTTTTGATCCGCTTCTTAAGCACTTCAATCGCTGAAATCCGCACACAAGTCAGAAGAAAATCACCGGTGGGGTTTGATGGCGAAACATTAGTGTGTGTATCATACCTTTTGCAGCTTGTCCATTGTTAAGCAACATACAGTACCAAACTTCATTGAATATATCAAGCTGTTCACCCGATGCCCCGATCATCTTGAATGATAGTACATAAGAATTCTTTAGTGCTTCTCTATGTGGAAATAGAAAAGAATAAAACAAGGAAATCAGTTCTCAATGTTAATACCTTGCAGTTATCCGCATCAAAGTCGGGACCAAGCAATTCTAATGCTTGTTTTTCATTACCCATCCCATACTCGTACGTGGCTTCTGCAAGCTGATAACGAAGATGTTGTCCTGTTATTTATAATGATAAACCAAATATAACAACGATAATCTTCTAAATTCATTCTCTTGCCGATAGTACGGGTGAAAGAGCCCTGGATAAAAGTAACAACACAACTTCTTACTGCCCATAAAATGTTCAATGCCACGCTCCGTTTACGAAGAAGATTCAGTAGGTGGTGTAATGTGAGACCAATACAGAATACAAATATAAAGCTAACTTTTGAAAAGACGATGCAGAAAGAAATGAACAAAAGGATAACATAATATTCCAATAGATAAAATAAAATAATTAGTGGGGAGGTGGCAATCAAAACAAACCAGCATTGCTTTCTGCATGAACTGTTGCTTCTTCTTGTTCATCTTAGCAATTCTACATGAGGACCAAAGTAGGAATCAATATGTTGAAAGATAACGGTTGATAGAGTGCTTTTGAGTGAGTGGAAGGCTATTTCACCTGGATTTTAAGCCCTTAAGTAATTCTTCTGCCTTTGAAATTTCACCAGTATGAGTCAACGCCCATAAAATTAACACGTTAAGATGCCACTCTAAATACCAGTTGGCCTGAACAAAATGGAACAAATTCAGATGACAGAACTGTGTCTGACAACAATTAAAGCACACAAAGCATGGAATGCCCATCACCTAGCAAAATAACATTGCAATAAGAGCTACCAATTCATATAATTCTTTCCTAAATTATAGTTCTAGCGATCGAAAAATTAATAAATATTCTCCTTCTACACATTTATACAAGCTATCCCTTATTATATGGGTGCATTCTGCACTTTTCAAATCACTATTCTTTGCTGCATAAACGAGCGCACCTCTTGAGAAAAATGAAAATGAACCCAGGGTTTAACTTACTTGATCTGTCACACAATTAGCTAAGGTCTTCAAATGGTCCTCAAAGGCATCCATTTCACCTCGAACATGCACCCGTAACAACAACCCAAGGGCATTCAAGTAGACCTAATTGCACAAGACGTTAGGAACGGAAGATGCAAAAGAGCTGGGTGATCTAAAAAAATACTTTCAACAAACCTCTGGACGTGCAGCATCAGGTTTCTCCAACTCCTTCCAGATTCGATGGTCGTATAAATCTCGGATTCTTTGGATTGGAGCATGGCCTTCTAAATAACAAAGAGCTACATGCCACCAATTGTGTGTAAGCCTGATGATTGTCACACTTATTAGCATCTAATTACCAAGTAAAGTGAAAGAAAAAAAAATCAAACCATAAACTAATTCAATATGCATACATGAATGACGAACACAAATTCCATGAAGGTGAACATTCTTCCATGAACTCTACTGCTTCTTTAAAGTGGCAATTGTACTGAAGAACATGGCACATCTGCATAAGTTAAGAACACATGAATTACAATCAAGAACTTAAGCATTAGAAACTTCTTGCACAACTAACAGATAGTGATATGAAGCAGAGTAAATGATTAAAGCTCACATTATGTTGCGCCCAGTTGTCATGCTTGTTGATCTTGTATCCCTTTTTGGCAGCTTTCTCAGCCTCTTCCATGCGTCCAAGCTCTAATAAAGGAAAAGCAAGCATGCCATACACGTAATCTTCTTGTTCATTGCTGGGAAGAACCTGTTAGAAAATTGTTACGAGGCAATTGAGAAAATGTAAAAAGATTCGACTACTATTTAAAACGCTCAAAACCGCAGAACAATGTGCTCTCCTAATACCTATATCTTACGCCATAAACTTTTATTATTTGGTTGAAATTGCTCAATACTCACGCAAGATGCCAGAAAAATAGCAGCTAATAAATTACGTATCTTCCACTGTGCGCAACATTATTCAACGAAAATATAAACATCACATACAGAAATGAACCTGTTGAACAAGATCCAGCGATAGATCAGGTCGAGCCGTGTAGAAGCAGAGCCCTTGGGCCCTTTTCAGAGAAGCCAAATCTTTAGGGAAACATTTCAAGAGCTGCAAAAAAAAAGAAAAAAAGAAAAAACATGTAACCGACAGAGCCAGTACAAACAATAAAGACTAAACTTATGTTGAAGGGCTGTCATTCTTATACAAAATACTTGAACCACACAGTATGTTTCCTACCGTATCTGCCATTGTAAAAAACAACGAGAAACAAGCAATTGAAAACATAGTTGAAAACATCATGCTTCGTTAACACCCATTTGTGTCTTGGGTTCGGGATGATATATCGGTTATGCAAACTAGAGAACATGCCACTAAACCATAAGAGCAGATTTCCATAGGCAGGTGATTGAGCAATCATGTAAAAGATTAAGCAGTCAACTCTGTATCCATAAAATTGGAATTTGAAGGGAAAAAAGTTTATAGTTTGAGGCAGATTTCCAACTCAGTTTCTGCGCTGGATAATCTGCTATACCAGCATGACTGACCAAATAGTTACTAACGACCTTGTTACAATTGCCAAGAAACCACAAATTAAAGAATGAGGATCCTTTCCGGATCCTTAAATCGTGTCCGTTTATCATATATCATAAGCTCATAAATCATTTTAAATACTTTTATTTTAAATTAAATATGAATAGTATATGATGAACATATGATGAATAGACACAATTTGAGGATCCGGAGAGAATCCTCCTGCCAAATGAAAAGCTTAAGAAACCAAGTAAGATATGCTCATCAAGGAAATAAAAACCCAATAGAGAGGAACTGGCGCTGGCCCACCTTTGAATGCAACTCAAAAGCAACATCATCGTCTCTATCCTCAGAAATCAAACAACTGACAGCAGCAAACACTGCTTTCTCGTACGGGGTAGCTTGTTCCTTTGCACAACAAATTTCCCATCACGCCACATAAGTAAATATCCAAAATTAATCAACAAAAAAAGGGTTAAATTTGCCCAAAGAAACTCACCAGCCGGGACTTGGCGGCTTGGAGATGAGGAGGAGCACGAGAAGGATCGGAGGAGGAGAGGAAATGGGCAGCCAGTATGTTAGCAAGCACGCACTGGCCGTCGTGCGCTGCCGCCTCCAATATCACTGACCGCCGCCGGCCATAATTCAAAACCTTCATTCACTCATCAAAAATGAAAAATCTCAAAAACCCATCTCAGATTTTCCCACACCAAAGCCATAGATATCGAGAAAGAGTAAAAAATTGATGGTACCCACCTGGTCGTAGAAGGCGTTGATGGCGGAGATGCAGGCGTCTGAAGAGGTCCTCACCTCGTATCCAAACTTATCCACCTTTAACTCTCCCTTCATTTCTAACTCTCTCTAGCTAGCTGAGGCTACCACTCTACTCGCCGCCGATCAAAAGAAGAGAGCTTTTTTGCAGAAACCGGTGCTGGGTTTTGTTTTCTTTCGCCTGTAAATCGGAAAATCAGTGTGAAAATAGTAGAGGAAATACGAAGGTCGTTCTCAGCTGTCGCGGTTGGTTTGGTGCGTAGTCTAATATTGGCATCGGCCTACTCAGCCTTTTGTCCTTGATTTTCTTAAAGAAGTCTTTTCGTGTGATCTTTTCAATGTCTTAATAATCCAGATATTTATCTTAATAAATCACATATTATTTTTGTAAACAACAAAGTAGATATGTTATGTACCAAAACTTACCAAATTTTGATGCAATAAGATTGATACATCACGTAATACAGATACATTCAAATAGAAACGCACACTAAATTCTTTATGCGTTAACCGTCGAAATGAAGAAATAATAGTCTTGTTTAACCACTTTTGTTTAATTTTTTTCGATTTATAATAAATCATATTTTCCATTGTCGTTTACGCATTATTTTTCGTCCACGTAAAAAGAAAATAACACATCTTATACCATAAGCAACCAGGTGCCATTTCAATTTATAGTTTTCTTATTAAGTAAACATATTAAAAGGCTTGTCATATTTTGGAGAAAGGCATATCAGAATCAGACCCAACTTGGTATTGGGCTTATTCCTTATGCGGTTGGGGCAGTAACATTTGGAATTTGGATCTGATTCTATTCATTATTCGGGGTTCAATTTCAATCCCACCCCAATGATAACCAATATGGGGGAAAATAACAAAAGCACACAACGGCGCCTGACACTTGTGCATGTGGATATTAACTTTATGATGTGAGAAGTTTTTAGAATCGTTGGTTTACACACGTATTTTTATTTTTCATATATATTTTTTTGTTAATTTTTGTCATTTGTTATTTTTTAATTTATAAGATCGACAATAAAAATTTAAGAAAGGTGTGTGAAAGTAAAAAAAGGGTTGTGTATAACATTACTCTTTGAGAATATGACACTTGAAACACAAACGTTTTAAGTCATTTTACTTTGGAAAGGGCACAAGTACCTCAATATTTGGTCCCTTAGAGCATCTTGAATTCATGAGAAAAGTTAGACTCAAATTTTATATTTGAGTTTAAATATGAGTTTAAGGTTTTCCAATGCATTGGGACTTAAAACTCATGTAAGTTTCTGAAGAAGCTGAGACTCAAGTATGAAATTTGAGTTCAAGGTGGAGCCCATGTTAATTTTTTTTTTAATTAGGAAAAATATTATTCAGTGAAAAGAAAATAGATTTGAGTTTTGAGTCTAATAATCTCCAATGCACATAATGAAATTGTTAAAACTAAAATACGAGTTTTGAGTCAATCATCTCCAATGCACACAGCTGAATTGTTAAACCTCTTCTCATAGACTCAAAACTCAAATATTTGAGTCTTTGTATCGAAGAACAAAACCAAAATACATAAATTCATTACCTTTTTAATACTAAAATACAAGAATATAGAGTTAGAATTTGAGTGCTCTTAGTGGTCTCAGACTGAAGGAAAGGCTAGCTCGTTATTGACAATATTTGAAAGAAGATGATGATAACTCATTCGAGCCCTCGGTCTTCCCATATGCATATTGTGTGTTGTTTTCTGAACATAAAAAAGAAAATACTTCACACGGGAGATTCGCTCTCTACTGTGAGTGCTGAATAAGCACACACTACATGCAGACCAAAAAAATAAGGCCAGGCTATAAGTTTTATGAAACTATGGTCGACATATGTCTCGCCTGCATACTATCACTTTGACGTCTCAGATACATGTAAGTTCCTCGCCTAAGAGCCGCTGCAGCTCTTGCTTTGGCAGCAATAATCTTAGCAATCTCAACAAGCTTGTCAGTCTTAAGTATACCATCCAGCAGCATGTGCACAAAACTTGTCAGCCCATTTTACCAGCCCCGGCGTTTTCGTTTGGTCAAGCATTTCGGTTCCTTGCAGCTTCTCGTTTAGAATGAGCCACCCCAAGAAACACCCGAATGAAATGGGTATCCGATCTCATCTCCGCCAAAATAGTTCGTCGCCTTTGCTGGATTTCTCAAAGGCTTCCCCCAGCAGCGCCAGCCCTCCTGTCACTTGCTCGATTGCTGCCATCTTTGCCTCCTGAAAGAAACTCGGTAGTCGACGGATTTGAGCTTAAGGGCAATGCGAGCCCTCGTCACGATTACTTAACTTAGTTAACACTCAATTTGTGATCGATTCGAACACCCGGAGCGGTGTATCGAGATGTAGAAAAGTCTCTTTCCAAAATCACTAAATTAGGGTTGTTTTTAGAGCTTTTTCGGGCTTGTGCCAAAATAAAAATTGCAAGCCTTGACTTTTGAGTGAAGTTTTTAGATTCATTCCAAGAATATTTAACCCTACCCTATAACTGTTCTGATTCTGAGCCCCTGTGCGCAAGACGAAAGTAGCACAAGTGAATCTCACAACGCATCAATAGTTGACAATTATTCACATAATTATTTTCTTTCAATTAAATCGTCTACCCATATTATAATCAAGAATGGTTCGTATAAAAAACAACTACTGAACTAATAGACTCACCTAAACGATTTTTTATTTCACTGTCAAATTAACATAAAAACCAGACACAAAATAAAACAGGCCAAAGTCCCCGAGTTTATCAAACTACAGCAGTCTAACACATCCGACTTAATCACTCGTTTAAATAAACAAGATCCGTTAATTAGATTCACTAATTAATCATTTGGGAGCCCCTGCACCTCTCATTTTGGCCGCAAGAATCTTAGCAAACTCAGCCAGCTTGTCAGTCTCCGGCATGACATCCTTCACGGCAGGATCTGCACTGAACTTCTCAGCCCATGTGACCAGCCCTGGGATCTTTGCGCCGTCCAGAAGTTTGACCCCATTCATTTTCTCTGTGACTCTGAGCCACCCCAAGAAGCACCCGAACGCAATGTCTAGGTACCCAATTTTGTCTCCACTAAAGAAGTCCTTGCCTTTGCTGGTTTTTTGAAAGGCTTCCTCCAACTGAGCTAGCCCCTCGGCAACTTGCTCGACTGCTGCCTTCCTTGCATCATCTCCTTGAGCAGCACCAATGCCTTTCATTGCCGGAAACCACTGCACCAGAGGCACCAATATATACAAAAGTGAACATATTTTAGAACACGTTTGGAAAATTCTTTTGTACGAAGCAATTATGCAGATATTAATCATTCTATAAGCAATTCCAAATAGATCTTATTCGAGACCTAATAAAGAGAAAGACTAGCTAGTAGCAACAAAACCTTTAAACATATTTCATCAAGTAATGAATCACACTGATTAAATTATGAGGCTCCGCTCCAGGGAGATTGGCGGTTGTCCGCCCCTCTTTGGAGGGTCGGAGCCGTCATTTCTCTGCCGTCGCCGCAACCACCCCATATTTTAAATAGCAAAGAATCAAAAAGCGACGTGCATCATTCATCAAATCCCTTACATTTAACTGGATAATCCAAAAGAATAATAATAAATTAATGAAATCAGCCTACAACAATTAAAAATTAAGGACATGAAGATAAACCATGCAGTTACCTTCTCATCGATATAGGCAGCCCAGAATCTTGCAGTAGCGCGATCGAACGGGTCAGAAGGGAGGATAGATGGGCCAGAGGACCAAACCTCATCGATGTACTCAACAATGATGAGAGATTCACAAACGGGCTTGTCGCCATGAATCAGAACTGGGATTTTCTTGTGGACGGGATTGGACTGGAGCAGAAGCCGGCTTTTGGATCCGAATGTCTCCTCCAGAAACTCATACTCCACCGACTTGATATTGAGCGCGACCCGAGCCCTCATCACGTATGGGCTCGGCCACGCTCCCAAAACCTTCACGTTGCTCTTCGCCATGATTAATGATTCAGATTTACTCGCAAACAAGAAAAGCTCTCAAAATGCAGATGCAAAATCTGTGCTTTGGGATCCGGTTATTTATGAATGTGCATGAAAGATAGTAAGGAGAAGGTAAAGGTATAGAAAGTGATATTTTGGTGTAAAAGTAATGACAATATGTGTGGCAGTCGGGAGAGGTTTCAAAGGCAGGAAAAAGAAGTTAATATCCAATGTGTGGATGGGAAGAGACTTGCATAGATAATTTTAAAACACATGATAATGTATTATTTATGAAAGATGCTACTAGGTCTAGATAATTGAGAAAAATTTGCATGCAATCAAAGTTAAATTATCACGTATTTTAACTTCTCGTCCTGATTTTTTGCCATATTGAGTTTCAGCGTATTCAACCCACTTCTATTCGGTCTTGTGTTCAGATAGGAAGTTGGTGTGTAGTGCGGCTGAGATGGGAGCACGTAAGACGACAACAACTGGAACTGCGTGGCTTATTCTGCATTCAGTCATTTCTGCTGGGCACTTGTTCCCTGCACACATCTCTCACAAAAAAATAAATGTGATAAAGATTGATAAAGGAGATATCATATAGGGCGGTCAACCCACCCACCTTTACAAAACTAAAACAAAAGAAGAAACAAAAAATCAATATCAGGGCAAATGCACCAGCCGGGAATCGAACCCGGGTCTGTACCGTGGCAGGGTACTATTCTACCACTAGACCACTGGTGCTACTGCTTTGGTGTGCACTCTTTTCTATAATATCCGCATTTATAAGATTTGTGGCATCACTGCTAGTACAGAGAGCTCTCTAAACTGTGAAGGTGTAATTGGCCGAGTTCGATTCCCGGCTGGTGCAATATGGATTTGAATTTCTTGAATAAACTGATTTTCATTACTTGTGTGTAGATTTCATAATTCACGTGACGTGTTTTCGTATTGATTTGTTGGTTTTCTTTGTAAACATACACAAGTAGCAGCAATCTTTGCAAAAAAACAGTCATGTTACAAATCTATCGGGGTTCAAAGCAACGGAATGGCTCGTTGAGACCAGAAAGCATTTCGGGGCAGTCCCAAGTTTGCAATTCTTCCGAGTTGCTTCCGAGTCCCTTCATTCTCACTCGGTCTCTTTGGTCTTAAGTTGGCCCTTGAAGCGGTTGTCCTTGCGATTTGCCCCTGGTGACGCCGTATCAGCTTAACTTTTTTCTTTGCTGATTTTCTGGGATGCAAGCACTTCTGCATGTTCTCTGCTTTAACATCCTCCAACTTTACCAAGAGTGCTGCACCCAGCCAAAGTAGTTAAGATCAGAAGAATGCTGACATAACATTTCTAAGCTGCATGGAACGGTTTCATGTCAAATCATGAAAGAAGAAAAATCTACATATACCAGGAGGTTCGTGTTTACAGAACATTTGGGCAGTGATGAAATCCAACAGAACATTTGAGCGAAATAGCCATCTTGAGATTGCTTGGATCTGTTTACGGAATAGCCCTACTCCTTAGGGCCCAGCTTCATCTATCTTTGATTTCGTATCAAATGTTCGATAGCCAGGTACATATGTAGGTCCCTGGCTAACAAAGAGTAATAGCTCATAACCTGTGCAGTGTAGATTCATCAAGTAATGGGAAAAAGTCTAGAAATGATACCAATAAGAACTTACTAACATTTCAATATCATCATTTCAGAAAGGCTGTGCAATATCCTATATCATACTAAACACATCGGGATGAGAACTATTACCGTGATGATAATATCGTAGATGCGAGTCCGCAGGAACTAAAACTGAATTTCTCTCCAAGAGATCCCATTAGAGCAATTCTGCTACGTGTCTTCGTTCTTGGGCTTGCCAACAAGACAATTCTCTATAATTTCATTGCAAAGATCAAGAGTAATGTCCATGTTCCCTTCTTCATAGTTCATATCGACAAAAATGTTGTATGTTTCTCTATCTGCAACCACACCATGTCTCCTCATTTCTTCGAATAGTTCCCTTGCCTCCGCAAATTTCTTTCTCTTGAAAAAACCCTTAATAAGTGCACTGTAACAACTTGACGTGGGAATAAATCCCTTTCCTGCCATTTCTTTATGCAAAAACCATGCCTCTTTCATATTCCTTGCCTTACAATGCCCTTTTATCAAAATGTTATAGGTGTTGCTATCAGGAATCACCCCGCCAGCACACATGCTCCTATAAATTTCTGTCGTAGTACGCATATTATTTCTAATGCAGTACTGCTTCATGAGAGAATTGTAGGTTGCGGCATTAGGCACTATACCCTTCTCCAACATCCACTTGAGTAGCCTCTCAGCATCTACCACCATTCCTGACATACAAAATCCATTCATCAGCACATTGAATGTGACAACTGTAGGTTGAAGCCCTCTATCGAGCATCTCATGCAGGACCTTCTGAGCCTTTCTCATATCTCTCATCTTACAATATGCATCCATCAAAGTGGTATAAGTAATAGTATCAGGACAGGGCCCAGCAGCCTCCATTTCTTCCACCAATTTTTCTGCCTCCGCTATGTTTCCCGACTTACAAAGGCCGTTAACAATTGAGTTGTAAGTGCAGACATTAAGTTGAAGGCCCTTCCTACACACCTCATGAAGAAGTTCGTTTGCTACATCTACCTCCCCTCTTTTACAAAGCCCATCAGCCAGTGCCGTATAAGTGACAACATTTGGGGTAAGCCCCATGCTAACCATCTGGTTGTGAAGAGAAAACGCCTCTATCATCTCACCTGCTTTGCAATAACCATCAATAAGTGCTGTATAAGTAACTTCATCTGGTTCTAATCCTCTGCTAACCATTTCATTGAAGAACTTATCTGCTTCTGTCATCTTCCCTATTTGACAAAATCCATGAATAATGGCAGTATATGTTATATAATCAGGGACAACTTTCCTACCCTGCATTTCGTCAAATAGCCTACTTGCAGAAGGAACATTTCCCGACTTACAGAATCCATCAATTAGAGTAGTGTAGACAACATTATCAGGAAGTATTCCTAAAACCATCATCTCCCTCAGTAACACTTCTGCTTCAGATAGTTTACCAGTCTTACACAGAAGGAGTATTATGCTGTTATAGGTATAGGAATTTTGCATCAATCCTTTTATTTTCATTTCCTTGATGAGCTTCAACACCTTCTGTAGTTCTCCAACATAACAATATCTGCTGATTAAAGTACTATAACTTACAACATCAGGTATACAACCCCTCAACTCCATTTGGAGGAGTAAATGGTGGGCTTCTTTTATTTTCCCTAATCGACAAAGACAATGAATGATAATATTGTATGATATGGTGTTCCAGTGAGCACCCACTTCAGGATATTCATTGAAAAACTTTATTGCCATCTCAATCCCATCAAAGGTGCTTGATAGCCGAGTAAGAAATAAATTACAGGAATCAACAGAGATAACCAACCCATAGCTCAACAATTTATCAAAAAGCTTTCTTGCTTCATTGAGCATCCCAGTTTCAACAAGGACCTGGAAGTAAACATCGAACACATGGGGATCTGAACCCCAATCCTTGTAAGTGTATATCAACCGATCAGAAAAGCGAGTGAATGAAACACTAACATCTAACTTGGGTTTTGCCCAAAAATTATGAATAAGCTCATGTGCTGTTCTAAGATCCTTTGATGCTGCAGCAATTTGTACAACAACACAATGGGCTTCTAATGATGGGTCCCTTCGTAAGCATGCCCAGTCAAACAAATCCAACACTAGTTTATAGTCATTCTTAATATTCATGAGGACCCAAATAAGATGGTCAGAACTGAAATGAGATTCATAAGGCTTCAGAATACTGCAAAAGGGCTCAGAGCAGCGAAGCTTAATTGTGGTGGAGATGCGATGTACAAGTTCGGCATCTTTGATGGACGGTTTCTTGGGGGAATAGTCAGGAAAAGGCCTTGTATGTGTTGCTCCTAAGGAAATTCCATGACTCAAACATCTCCTAAAGATGAATAGTGAAGAATTTACAGCAAGATTTAAGCAAAGATGATGATGGGAGATCTGAAAACTATAGACTGACAAGATGGCGCGCCTCTTCATATCTACTCAAGGAACCCATCAAGAACAATTTTTGGGACCCTTTTCTAGTAATGCAGCGGCTTTCCTCCATTTAGAAGAACCAAAGCAAAGAGGTTGCTTCATCACATCACCTGTATGGTAACAATTAAACACAAACACTATATAAAAACTCTCGTAAAACAAAATATAGCGCCTATACATCAAAGCATACATATCATAACCAACTTTTGTTCGTTCGACAAACATCATTTACAAACAGAGAATTTCATTAAAATGCAGAGAGTAGCACACTTGCATTGCATGGCAATACTTGAACAATGAACAAATTCTGATTGCAAAACCAATGAAACCATTCAAGTTGCTACCATCTACATTGATTCCGAAACCGATAAAACGTTCAAAACTTTCATCAAATTGACATTTACAATCACACCCACACTCCGTCACTAACTAAAACAAATTAAAAGTGGTTCACGCATTCTATCAAACACTTGGTGAGCAATCAATAAAAAGTACTCAAAACTGAAAAATAAAGAAACAAGGTGGCAAAAGGGGCAAGCTTTTGAAGCTGGGATGCATGAGAGGTGTTACCTTAGACGTGCGTCGACTGTGAAAAGCTCGAAAGCTTCCAACTTCCCAGAAACTTGTTTTCAGAAGGATGGCTGTTGCCTGTAAATATCTCGAGTTTCATTCGGCCTCCACTCTCCTCCGGCAGGTATTTAATTTTAGTGAGAGAAACAATACGGGAAAAAGATATTTAACTGGGCCCTATATGTTTGGGCCAAGTTATTGACATCAAATAACTTGGGCCGGGCTCAAAATGATAAATGAGTTTATACAACATATTATCGTGTGTTTTAACTTAAACGAGAGAAATTTGCATGCAATTAGAACACATAGGTAGTCGATCTCAAGCTTATCATCCCCGCAAATGACACTACTAGCATTAGAGTTGACTGTATTCTTCTCCACTTATAAATAGAAGGTCTTCAGTTCGGCTCACTTGAATACGAATTCAATACTTATAGTGGTAAAATCATTGGGTGACTTAACTCAAATATCTCTCCTTTTACTCTAATGGTAGAACATCACTTTACCTAAAGAAAAAACACCCAAACAAATAACATCATGTGATAAACTTATAATCATCTTGCCACCACGAGGTCGTGATTGAGTAAGTTCTTCTCCATTGATACAATTCCCCCTCTCACATGTACGTATAAAGTTCTACTAAGGCAATCCACGACTTGCGCTTAACAATTTTTTTTAGTTTGGATACCCTACCAAAAGAACTATTCCCCAGTTACATATATTATTGGAAACTAATTAAGAATAAAATTTGTTATCAACAAATAATGTCGACGATGATGACATAAATAATTTGCAAAAGTTCAATAAATGGAGGAGAAATCATCATTGCTGCATTTTCAATCCGGTTTAATTCCAGAACACTATGCTTTTGATCTCTCTTTTTTTCTGATTTAGGGCTGAAGTGGTAGTGGTGGGGAATATATACTCATTACTCCAAGCAGAAAGTTGAGTTTGTGAATGGAAATTCAAAAAATATATAGAAAGCTAGGGCTACGATTGCTTTGGGGGCGAAACTATGGGTAGGTAGCCGTATGGGGATCTCAAATCACAAAAAATATATTACGTTTGAAAATGCTTTTGAAATGGTTAAAAGTGAATTCAGGTAACTAATTAAGAATACTCAAAACAGTGCATTTGACAAAAACAATTAAAAAAATTTCAGATTCTAAAAACCGGTGTCGGCGTTTTTAATAAAGTGCTTTCTAGCATAAGTGCTTTGTGCAGAAGCAAGTCGATAGTTAGGGTTACAAGCCATGTGAGTTATGTGACCAAGGAACTGCATGGTGAATTAATATTGATTCCTAAACCGTTCATCAGATTAAATGGTTAGTAACTTATTACTTCGTGTCTCCATTAATTAAATTATTGTTCGAGATGTCATTTGAGAAAGAGGGAGATAATCAATTCAAAGGTAGGTAGGTGGAACAAGGGCATCTGTTAATAGGGAAAAGAGAATCACGGAACATCTAAAGCTAGCTAGTAGTCTGGCTAAGTGGGTATGAACATTTAACTTTGTACTTTAGGTATCGAGTTTGATTCCGTACTTCCTCTATTTCACTGTAATGAAGAAAACAAAAACAAAACTAGCTACTGCCAATCGAAAGTGTTGATGAGATCCAAAACTACATGCTCCTTTTCGGCGGAATATTAATATTTGTATCATCTCAAGTGATCGTCTAGTATACTATTTTCTTAAGTATACCTTACACTAACTCGACATCAGTTGAGATGATACAAGTAGTTTTATTTATCGAAAATCCCTGGCCCCAAAACTGTAAACTCACTAAGTTTTCTTGTTCCACTTCATAATATATATACATACCAACACAACACCAAGGCCTCACTCCACACCCTCTCATCAAACTTATCATTTCCTCCTCTCCAAACTCGCAACAGGATGAAGTTTAGCTCTCCTTCAACACCAACTCTCTCCATCACCTTCCTCTCCATCTTCCTCCTCCAACTCACCTTCATCTCCTCCCAAACCTGCCAAAGATCCTGCGGCGAACTCCCCCTCAAGTTCCCATTCGGCAGCGACCCCGGCTGTGGCGACGCGCGCTTCAACCCTCACGTGTCGTGCAGCCAGGGAAACCCCATCTTCACAACCCACACCGGATCCTACCCCATCACGAACATAGACTACACAAAGAAGGTCATGTACATCTCAGACCCCTCCATGTCAACATGTTCATGCAAACAACAATCCAAAGGGTTTGCCCTAGACTGGGACGCACCCTTCGATTTCCAGGACGACAACGTTTTTGCCCTACTCGACTGCTCACTTTCCACCTCTCCAATCTTCCAACAAAACTCCCTATACACTGACAAAAAAAACAGCTCAAAAATCTCCCTATGTGACAACCAAGGTGCCCCGATTTGTAGCTACTTGTACTCATGTCAGGCGATCAGCACAATCAACCTCCCGACGTCCACGTGTTGCGTTTACACGCCAGTGGATCTTGGGCCGGCTTTCGAGATGGATTTGGAGAAGCTGCAGTGCAGCTCTTACTCAGGGTTTTACAGCTTCAACGAACGTGAGTCTGATCCTAATAGTTGGAAGTACGGGATTGCACTCAAGTACAAGTTTAGTGTGAACAACGAGTATCCGAGTTCGTGTGCTAATTGTGAGAGGAGTAATGGGGTTTGCGGGTATTATGGGAATTACAACTCGTTTATATGTAATTGCCCCAGTGGGATCAACACCACTAATGATTGTTTCTTTGGAGCTTCATATAATTATGGTTCAAGGCCTCGATCGTGGCAGATTGGTACGTATTCAATCTCTCCTTTTACCCTTTTGTGGTTTCATTTTTCAATTTTTTTATTCACATTCCGGGGCGGTACAGAGAGTACACTGGTCTAATCAACTTAGTCTGTTTGTGGTGTTTTTGCAGGGACTTGGTTAATCTATTGCTTGGCTTGGTTATTGCTTTTGGTATTGTAGATTGTGAAATTTCGTAGATGGATTTTAAAGTTCAAATGCAAGTTGCGGTTTGAACTTCTTTGAATCCTATAAAATATGTTGAGATTCAACTTTTTGTTGTTGTAAACTGTTGAGATTTCTCCGCAATATTCGTAGCAATAACTAGGTTAGGTCAGTTAGCTATGCCAATGTACTTTTCATCTTGCCCGATGTTATATAAAAAATAAGATAAAAGCACTCAAAAATCCAAAGGAAATGGCATATAAAAAGAAGATTAGGGAATTTGGTTCCATCTTTTTGTAGCATTATCACCACTCAGAAAGAATCAACTTTCATTACAAAGGCTCTTTCTGTATCCACGGTTACATCACCACATATGGTTGGCTAGATTCTACAGAGGCAGAACAGTAACTTTCTCCATCTAGCTTCTTTACAATTGTAAAAACGGTAAATGAGGGACTTAGAAACTAAACCAGGTGAGAAAATATTGACAGAATTAACCCCCACCGGATATTTACAGCGGTGTACTATGACTGCAAAACTTGTTTCTCTGTATTCTTCTTTTCACATTCTTTGTACTGTAAGAAAAAAAATGTTGATCAATGCGTCATTACTGGTCATCGCATATTGCAGCACTGGGGTTTCCCTTGTTGTTGCAATTTGTCCCACATGCATATCATTTGTCTCGGAGATTGGTAAGGCGCGGTGTAATAGTCGTCGATGCACCCAAACTGGCAGAACTTCCAGCTGTGCACATACTCCACCGGTTTAGATTTGTTGAACTGCTACACCCACATTCCCATGCTCACATCTTCCATCTTGAACAACTGCACAGAACAGAAGTTAATTTAAAGATATGGAGACCTGTACACGGACTAGAGATGCAAACAAGAAAAAACAGCATTTTCATCACATACTCGCAACTTATGCCTTTCAAACTCGGATACGATGGATTTTGCTATGTCAGAGGAGATTATGTATCCTGGACCATTTGCATAGGGTGGATAATCTTCTTCAAGCCATTCCTGGAGCTCACCAAGGAAAAATATGAAGGATGAGAGATTGTTCATGACACAACCCATATACCAATTCTATATGAACGTGAACTAAAAAGCGACACCGTTAAACGACTTATTGATTGTTAGGAGCTAAATACTATCTAATTCTTATCACCAGTCACAATTGCAGACAACAACATACGCAATGAGGCAAATGACAATCAGGTGGATAAGAAAACCGAATAAAATATTCACAATAAAAGCTAGAGTTTGGTAAGAGTATTAAGGCTGTCAAATTAATGGTGGGTAAGTAAAAATTTGTTCCTCTGTCTCTTGATTGCTAAAAAATATTACTCTAATCCAAAGCATCAACACTCAACTAAGAGGTGTCACAAACAGAATTTACCAGAAAACGTATTAACACGAGGCACAAGATGAAAGCTAAGCATTCGAAGAAAAACTTGTAAATCACAAGTTGTAAACGTTTGTCCTTAAAATCAGAGAAGAGAATGTTAATCACATTAAGCAATATATTTAAAGGACATATACAGCTTGAGAAGATCAGAATTACTTAATGGTTTAGAGAATACCAGAAAGGACTTACAAACAGTAGAAGTTGAACATCAATTTCAAGTTTGTATAATTTGTTGTTTAGAATAATTGGTGAAGAGCAGAAGAATGCATACCTCATATGTCACTGCCCATTTACCATGGCGAGAGGGTTGTGGTGGTAGTTCATATTTCCAATATAGAAGCTTCTATACCCATGAATTTTCCGTGCTTCCTTGAGCACAGCATCCACCCTGACAAAGGTGTCATCATCGCACTTCATGATATACCTTGCAGGCACAGTGCGAACCTGTAAAGAACCACAAACATTGATGTTAAGTATATCCATAAGAAAAAAATAAGTACAGCCAATTTGAAGTCTTGTTATGAAGCGTACCCCATATTCACAAATTGCAACAGTCTTCAATACTACCAGATCATAGTTATCCATATAAGGAACTATAACAATGTCCCCAAAATAATCTACTTCTTTCATAAGCTCTACATTTACGTCCTTTCTTCCATGCTGTCAAAATATAATTCCAAATACTGTAAATAGTTGACATTTATCAAAGCACAAAACAAGCATTCTGCATTCCTTACCAGTGCTACAAAAAAACGAGCCACAACACGTGAAGATTTGATTAATTTATGCTGCATCCAAGACTTTCTCACAGCCATACGCTCCGCAAAATGGCTGCCAGCAGACAGAATGCCAATGAACAACTCTACATGCCCAAAGGGAAGAAACGGAGCTTTCCACTTAGTAACCATTTCAAGGTGCATCTGAGGCAAAAAACTAGGATGTGATGTGGACAAGGAGGCTGCAAGCACAGAGTGCACATCAATGTCTCCATTTACAGATAGTCCGGTAGCATCCTCAAGAACAAATCCCTGTCAATCCGTGAATAAGATTTTAAGATATTCCGCATTCCTTACATTGTAGGTTAATATCACAACACAAAGGTACTCACCGTGCGATAAGGGAAAGAAGTGACATGCCTACCATCAACATTGATATGGAAACCTTCCAAACCAGCACTTACAGTAAGAATAAACAGCTTTCCCTCTGCAAAAGGGTATGGCCAGTCTATGGTCACCTTCTTTGTTCGTCCTATCAGCCTGTTCAACCACCATGTGACCTTCGATTCTTCCGACTTATTGTCATCGTCACGAATCCATTTCTCATATTTCACCTGTCCATCAACTTCACAAAACAAAAGAATCAGAAAACACATAACAATCTCACCAAATAATAGAACCGCAACCGCTTTATTTAGATTAGATTGGCACATCTAATATAATATACTCTTTACCTACCAAACTATAATTTAGTTAAATACAACCCAAAAACACAAAGACCCCTTACCTCTCAATTCATTAAGCAAAGCAATTAGAACACATTGAAGCCACCTACAGGTATCTTCATCAGCCAGGGACTTCCACCCCTCGCAGCGGAGGGCCGACCCCAATTGCATCCGGTAACAAGTGTTCTGCTCGATCAACGGCTTCCCACTCCAATCCCCCTTCAACCTCGGATTGAAATGCAGTATCCTAGGCGGGTCCTCCCCCTCCACGTTCTTCAAACCCTGCAACTCCATCATAAACTGAGAGACCATCACCGCCTCGTCCCCCTCCTTCAGTATCGCAATCTTCGGGTCGTACTCCGAGTGGGCCCACCTAGGCGTGCCCACCACCGTTATGTGAGACCCAAGAGTCATCCCGCAGGGAATAACCATTACCCGTTTCCGGGACTCGAATTCGGACCCTGACAGCAAAAACGAGTCCGGGCATGGCTCAGAGCCGTTCTCGGGCTTGGTCTCCAACTAGAAAACCACACTTTTTTACCAAAGCAAACTGAACTATTTATCAAACTAAACTATTTAGCAAACTGAACTATTCATCAAACTGAACCATTTAGCAAACTGAACTATTTAGCAAACTGAACTACAAAACCACACTATTTTACCAAAATAAATTGAACTATTTATCAAAGTGAACTAGAAAACCACATTTTTTTACCAAAGCAAAGTGAACTATTTATCAAACTGAACTATTTTTCCAAAACAAACTGAACTATTTATCAAAGTGAACTAGAAAACCACACTTTTTTATAAAAGCAAACTGAACTATTTATCAAAGTGAACTACAAAACCACACTTTTTTCAAACTAATTTATCAAACTGAACTAGAAAACCACATTTTTTTGCAAACTGAACTGAAAAGAAACCACACTTTTTTACCAAAACAAACTGAACTATTTATCAAATTTAACTAGAAAACCACACTTTTTTACAAAACAAACTGAACTATTTATATCAAACTGAACTATTTAGCAAACTCAACTATTTATCAAACTGAAACATTTAGCAAACTGAACTATTTATCAAACTAAAGTAGAAAACCACACTCGTTCGTGAATGCATCCCAGATTTTACTATTTCCTTACATTTCAATTCTATTTACAAATGAAGCAGATTGTAAACTATTTTGTAAACATTGTTTATTAAACTTAAAAATCGTGAACTATTTTGTAAAAATTATCTATTAAACTAAAACACCACCAAAATAGAATGTTGATTATATTTAAGTTATTTAAGCTATTTAAGCAAAGAAAACAACATATGAGGGCAAGAAAATACTATTTAAAGGTTATAAGAAAACGAGCAGTTATTAAAGTGAAGTAAAAATATACCATTTTGCAGAAACATTGCTATTCGAAGCATGCAAACTTACATATTACTGTAAAATCACCAAAAATATCAGAAATTTTGTGGTACGTACCTCTGTTTCTTCTCTGTTGCTTTTATTTCCCAAATTTTTTGTGTGTTTTCGTCTGGATGTAAATCAGAACTGTGAACCGGAAACATAATTCATTTTTTAGAATCTCAAACATGCAAATGCACATATTTAGTAAATTAAAGTAAGAAAATCATCAAGAATATCAGAAATTATATAGGTTCGTACCTGTGTTTGTCCGATTTCGACTCTGCAAACATACAGTTCGAATGTTTTCAGTTTTTCGTCTTCAAATGTAGTTTTTGGGTTGAGAAATTCCGGATTTGATGTGTAGATTATTGTTTGAAAACTTGAATCGAACTTGAAAACGCTTTAAGATCTTGACGTTTGGAGTAATGGAGGTTTCGATTTTTTTGTACAGTGTGAAGGGGTTGGTGAGTGACATTAATGGCGTTGGGAGGGATGATGAATTTTAGTAACTTCGGCTAACAGGCCTGGGTTAGGCTCCGTTAGGGGCAATTTTGGAATATTAATTGTTATGCGGTTTGGGCTTTTTGGTGAGCCTGTGTGTTTTAGTTTTGTAGGGCCTAGGATAAAAGTTTTGTGTCCTTATGATTAAAATTTAAGCCATTTTTATTAAATAATAGTTTAGGGTGGTTTTTCATTAAATAAAAGTTAATTCAATCACTTTTCATTAAAGCTCCCTAATATTTATGCCTCTAAAAACTCATTAATAGATGCGATTCTTTTAATCTGCCCCTCATAATTCATTTTCCTGTAGTGCAAAGATGACATGGAAATAAAGGCTAAGCTGACATAGACAAAAAGATGTCAAATTTGAAGCTGCCTTTAAATTTGATTTTTGTTATTTCCAAAAGCATTTCACTTACCTTACCTTAACTGGTAACATATTTAAGTATTATTTTAAACCAACAACAACTCAACTTTTATTATTTTTGTTTAAAAAAAACATAAATGAAACAATAAATTTTGGCATACTGGTGGAAGGAAAATATGGACAATATGCCAAATTGCCAATCATCTGTCATTCATCTGTCATGTTATTGATAGATTAGTAATAGGACATGTGTCATTCATATGTCATGTTATTAATCCAATGAATGTAATGTCTCATGAACTGAAAATGTATTTCTTATAGCCTTCCTTATCAGTTCATGAGACATTACATTCATTGGATTAATAACATGACATATGAATGACATGTGTCCTATTACTAATCTAACGTATATAATTAATTAATTTTTGCTTACTCAACATGTATTATTCATGGAATATAGCGGGATGGCTTAGAGCTGATATATTAGTAATAGGACACGTGTCATTCATCTGTCATGTTATTAATCCAATGATTGTAATGTCTCATGAACTGAAAATGTATTTTTTATAGTCTTCCTTATTAGCTCATGAGACATTACATTCATTGGATTAATAACTTGACAGATGAATGACACATGTCATATCACTAATTTATCAGCTCTAAGCCATCCCGCTGTATTGCATGAATAATACATGTTGAGTAAGCAAAAAATAATTAATTATATACGTTAACAGTTATCTGGTAAGGAAAGTCGCACTCAGCTTTTATCATATGCATCTGTAAAATGCTCAACTACACACAAACGAACGAGTGGCGGTGGAAACAAATAACGACAAGCAAATTGCCGCGCACGCAATTGCTGCTACTCCAAAAACAAGGGTCTCCTACCCTTGGATCTTCCATAAATAACTAAGTTGCCTCTCATCAATGCCACCTTTTCCTCATTGTTGTAATCAATTAATTAGACCCTAATCCATATTTGTCACACACCCTGGCATTAAATTGTATGTTTCTCTATATATACCTAGCATGCACAACTTCTATTTCAAAAAAAAAAAAAAAAAAATCAGCTAGAGAGTACTATAGTTTTCTAGACGTTAAACCCGAATTCAAATTCTCTTTCCTCTATTGTATCATCAAAGTTTTAGTGTGCCAATATTTACTATCTCTAGTTTACTTTGTAACAACAACAAAAGTTGTTACAATATGACTACGACGACCTTCCCGACGGTTGATCAATGCACATCGGATGGACGGGAAAAGCACACAGTGGTCGCCGATATGGACGGGACTTTGCTTAGAGGCCGGAGCTCTTTCCCCTACTTTGCTCTCATTGCTTTTGAGGTTGGTGGGATACTAAGGCTCCTGTTCTTGATCTTGGTTACACCACTAGCCGGACTCCTCTACTACTTTGTCTCGGAATCAGCCGGAATCCAAGTTCTCATCTTTGCAACGTTTGCCGGGGTTAGGGTTTCGGAGATCGAGTCCGTGGCCAGAGCCGTGCTGCCTAAGTTTTACTCGAGTGATTTGCACCCGGAGTCTTGGCGCGTGATCTCTGCATGCGAAAAGAGATGTATTCTTACGGCAAATCCGAGGATCATGGTGGAGCCGTTTTTGAAGGATTTTCTTGGATTCGACACCGTTTTGGGGACGGAAGTGGCCACTTATAAGGGTAAGGCTACAGGGTTTGTTTCCCCACCTGGTGTGCTTGTGGGAAAGAACAAGGCAGATGCTCTTAAGAAGGCTTTTGGAGATGTCCTGCCAGAGATTGGGCTTGGTGATAGACACACTGACATTCCTTTCTTGAAACTGTGCAAGGTTCGACAATTTTCTTGCTATTCGTTTTTAGTTTTATTTTGTTTAATTTTAATCCTTAATCCATTCGATTTAGAGGAATTCTTGTGTCCGAAGTCTGTACAAGGCACCAAAACACAAGAAGTGTCAGTAGGAATATGTTATGAAAATTGTAATAAGGGTAAATACTACATGCCATAAGACATTTCTACAATTACTTTTTGTTTTATTTTAATTAGTGTCATTAGGGTAATGTTAGGAGACCAAATTTGAAGACTAATTTGCAAACTAAATGACGTGTCACCAATAAGAATAAACACATTTATCGACGTGTAAGTAATAAATCAATCATTAACTTCTATGTCCTTTAGATTTCACAATTTTAGTATCTCTAGCATTGTTTGTGTCATTAACTAAATTTACTTGAAACATGTAAATGTGAAAAATTGTTGCAGGAGGGTTACATGGTGCCAGCCAAACCAAAAGTGGAAGCAGTAACAAACGACAAGCTACCAAAGCCCATAATCTTCCACGACGGCCGCCTTGTTCAAAAGCCAACACCTCTCATGGCGCTCCTCACCCTCCTCTGGCTCCCCATCGGCTTCTTCCTCGCCTGCCTCCGTATTGCCGCCGGGGCGCTCCTCCCCATGCCGCTCGTCTATTACGCCTTCTGGGCCCTCGGCGTCCGTGTCACCGTCAAGGGCACCCCACCACCTGCCCTCAAAAAATCCACCAGCCACACCGGCGTCCTCTTCATCTGCTCCCACCGCACCCTCCTCGACCCCATCTTCCTCTCCACAGCCCTCGGCCGCCCCATCCCCGCCGTCACCTACTCCGTCTCTCGCCTCTCCGAGTTCATCTCCCCAATCAAGACCGTCCGCCTCAACCGCGATCGGGCCCTCGACGCCGCCATGATCAAGAAGCTTCTAGAAGAGGGTGACCTGGCAATCTGCCCGGAAGGCACCACGTGTCGAGAGCCCTTCCTCTTGAGATTCTCGGCGCTTTTCGCCGAGCTGACGGACGAACTGGTCCCGGTGGCGATGGTGAACAAGATGAGCATGTTTCACGGGACCACCGCACGTGGGTGGAAAGGGATGGACCCCTTCTACTTCTTCATGAACCCGAGCCCCGCGTACGAGGTGACGTTTTTGAACAAGCTGCCAGCTAAGCTGACGTATGGGGGCGGAAAGTCGAGCCATGAGGTGGCGAATTATATACAGAGGGTTATAGCGGCCAGCCTTTCGTATGAATGCACCGGGTTCACCAGGAAGGATAAGTACCGGGCTCTTGCCGGAAATGATGGGACGGTGACGACTGAGAAGCCGTTGCTCAAGCCCAATAAAATCATGGGATGCTAGCTTTATATTTGGGAATTATTTTTCAAAAGAAAAATTAGTATTTGATCTCTAGGTTCTAATGTTCATTGATTAAGATCTTATCAATTTTTATATTTGGGTAAAAGATTGTTTACTACCCTCATGTTTCATGGTTTTCAACATTTAGTACATCAAGTTTTTTTCGTCTCAGAGTCATACCTAAAGTGTAAATTTTGGGACAGTCTCATACATTCGTTAGTCAAACTGTTAAATTTGCCGTTAATTGTGACGTGGCGCCCATGTGGACAATGACGTGACGCCACGTGTCAGCCACATTTTTTTTTGTGACACGTTGTTCTTCTTCTTCTTCTTCCACCCGACTGCAAACTTTTTTTTTTCTTTCTCTTCTTCTTCTTCTTCCACCCGACTGCAAACTTTTTTTTTTTCTTCCTCCTTCTCCTTCTTCCTTCTTCTTCCTTCTCCTTCTCCTTCTCCTTTTTCTTCCTCCGAATCTGGGGATTTTTTTTTTTTCTTCCTCCTTCTCCTTCTTCCTTCCTCCTTCTTCCTTCCCCTTCTTCTCCTTCTTCCTTCTTCTTCCTTCTCCTTCTCCTTATCCTTTTTCTTCCTCCGAATCTGGGGAATTTTTTTTTCCTGCTTCCTTCTCCTTCCTCCTTATTCCTTCTTCTTCTTCTTCTTCTTCTTCCTCCGAATCTGCCCAGATTCGTTTTTTTCTTTTTTTCCTTCTTTCTTCTTCTTCCTCCTTCTTCCTTCTTCCTTCTTCCTTCTTCCTTCTTCCTTCCCCTTCTTCTCCTTCTCCTTCTTTTTCTTCTTCTTCTTCTTCTTCTTCCTCCGAATCTGGGGAAGTTTTTTTTTTTTTTTTTCTTCTTCTTCCTCCTTCTTCCTTCTCCTTCCTCCTTCCTCCTTCTTCCTTCCTTCTTCTTCTTCTTCTTCTTCTTCTTCTTCCTCCGAATCTGCCCAGATTCGGCTTTTTTTTTTTTTTTTTTTCCTTCTTTCTTCTTCTTCTTCCTCCGACTGCAACTTTTTTTCTTTTCTTTTTTTCCTTCCTTCTTCTTCTTCCTCCTTCTTCCTTCTTCTTCTCCTTCTTCCTTCTTCCTTCCTCTTCATCTTCCTCAAAAAAAAAAAAAAAAAAAAAACCGAATCTGGGCAGATTCGGAGGAAGAAGAAGAAGAAGAAGAAGAGGAAGGAAGAAGGAGGAAGAAAAAAAAAACTTCCCCAGATTCGGAGGAAGAGAAGGAAGAAGGAGAAAAAGGGGAATGAAGGAGAAGGAGGAAGGAAAAAAAAAATGTTGCAGTCGGGTGGAAGAAGAAGAAGAAGAAGAAGAAGAAGAAAAGAAGAAAGAAAAAAAAAAAAACGTGGCTGACACGTGGCGCCCAGTCATTGTCCACATGGGTGCCACGTCACAATTAACGGCAAATTTAACAGTTTGACTAAAGGATGTATGAGATTGTCCCAAAATTTACACTTTATGTATGACTCTGAGACGAAAAAAACTTGATGTACTAAATGTTGAAAACCATGAAACATGAGAGTAGTAAACAGTTTTTTACCCTTTATATTTTGATCAAAGTTCCTAGCATTAATATATTAATGAATTACATGTAAGTTACATAATTTTCATAATAAAAATTAGTAATTGATTTAGAGTTTTAATACTCGCACCCTTATTAAACTCTTAATTAATCTTCAATTCAAACATTTCAAATATATAAAAAATAAAATAAGAATAAGTTTGTACCCATTAATTTTTATAAAAAATTGATATGTACCCATTCTTAAATATACCAATTTGTTATATGAAAAATGTACCCTTTTTTTAATATAATATGTACCCATTTTTTATATAAATTTCATTCAATCTTTTTAATAATAATCTATTTTTAAACTTATAAGGGTACATTCTATTTCGTTGATTTGAGAATGTATCCATGTCACGTTTAATAGAAGAAATTAATAATGTTATTAAGCCCTTTTCTTTCTTTTCTTTTTTTGAAAAATATACCCAAGTTTTGGTACAATAATTTTTTGGTTAGTTTTTTTATGAACGTATCCATGTATACATGTATATACACAATATATTGGAGAGTATAATTTATCTTTAATATTTTTAATCCCATATATTATGGGTTTTAATTTAAATCTCGTTAATATAAATAACTACAAATTTTATTTTTAATTTAAAAATATAATACCTACATAGAAACACATTATACATTAATGTCAGGGACTTCCATCAAAAACTAAAAACTCCAAAGGTTTCAATCAAATAACATTGGTAGTTAGGACCGTATCCAAAGTGTCCCTTTTTCAAATGTTTTTAAAACTTTGATTTACTAGCTTATTTAAGTATACTTTTTCTAGCCTAGTTAAATGTTTATGTAGAAATAAATGGCACGGGAAAATAGAATGTTTACCAAGAAGAAAATATGTATTTTTATTTTCCTATTGTTTGTTTGGGAATAATCAAATTTCAAATGAAATTGATGTTTGATAAGAACAAAAAGTTTACCAGTTATTCTTATTTGGATTATATTTTTTGTTACGAAAGTCAAATTGTGGAGCTATTTCATGCATCGGAAATTCGTAAATGCTTATGCAGAAAATATTTCTACTCGTAATTGTTTTTGCTAATTAAAAAAACTTCGGTTAGAAGCACACAATAATTTTTATTGAAAAAATTCCTTCCCACTCTCTATATCTTTTGTATAAAAAAACAGGTTGAAACTTTTATCGAAATTCATGTGCAAAACTTAAAAAACACCTCAAATTGCTTTTATAAATACTTAAATTTTTTTTGTTAAATGTTCTTAGCAACACTTTTAATTAGTCATTATAAAAACACTTACAAACAGATACAATTCTAATATTACGAACAATTTTACAAACAAAACACGAAACTATATAAGTGAAGATCCAACGGCTATGATAGATTCCATTCTTTAGGCCAACGGATGGTTACGACAAATCCAAATAGAATAAAGCGAGCGAGTCCTAAGTGTTTGTAAAATGGTTGCAAAGGATGAGCATATCGTTTTCCCGCCTGTGTCTCCCTCCTCTTCCTCCTCCCACTGCAAGCTCTATCTCTCTGACCAAAATCATGAAATCACCGCATTGATTTTGCTTACAGATTAATTAAAACGTGAAAACCAATTAATTAAACAGTTAATTGACATTAATTAACAATGAACTCGACGACGTTTTCACATCTTTCACACGGATCGTTTTCGTCGAGCATCGGAGACTCGTGGGAACTCGAAGGCAATCTTCCACTCAAAGATCGCCTCAAGGCCTTCAAAACATCCCAGTTCGACCACGATGTCAACGTCACCACCAAATGCCACGCCATGAGTGATAAGGTCCCCAATCTCTCTCTATCTCTCTCGCTCTCTCTCTAATTTTCATAATCACATCTGATGAAAAAAAATTGAAAAAAAATTTAATTTGTGCCGAGAAAGATAGATACATAGTTATAAACAACCGGTGACACATGCGAATCTCTTTAGGCACTCGGAATCAAATGGCACCATTGTAAAACTCGCTCGATAGCTATTTTTGTTTTTTCAGTGATCAATTTATCAGGGAATATTAGCACACGGTGTAAGTGTAACCCTTTGATGAAACTATTAGCATTGCTCAGTGTAAGTGTAACCCTTTGATAAAGCTATTTATTTTGGGCAGTGTTTAGCCGGAGGACGACTGGTTTGCCGAAGTAGCTCAAATAGCTATAAAGATGTTGACAACTAGTGTGTAAGTTCAGGGCTGGAGATACTATCATAAATAACTGCCTAAACCCAAATGTGTTGGACGATGATATATATGGAATTGCTGGTCAGTAAGTTCGGGGCCGAAGATACTATCTGTTGACCCTAGAAACTACAAAGCCTACGTGGCGCGCAGGCCGAGTAATCTAAAAGCTAACTACGTCCTTCGGTGATTGCGGGGCGTGCCAACTCGTCGGCCGAGCTCGGCCTCGGAGTAAATTTTGTTGATGTTGCGTTGGGTGCGCGGCTGACTTCTGCGTCTTGCGATTGCGGCCGAGAAAGGAACACGTCTCGGCCTCTTGGGCTCTCAAACCTGAAGACAAGGTTACTATTCTTACGAAGTTCAATATCAAATTCGGCTTTCAATGTGCCGAATGTAATAACTGTAACACCTCACTTCGCCGAGAAGGCTAATGAGATGACCTCGACCAATAAGGATTTAGGAAACCCTTCTCGACCGAGACTTGGATAGGTAATCAACCGCTCTCGCCGCAGTGCTGTTGATGCCAACGGAAGATACTGCGAGAACGACTAATTCTACGGTGACAGAGCTATCTATGCCGACTTAAGGTATCACCGGTTGCTTCCACAGTGCTGTTGATGCCAACGGAAGATGTGTCAGCGAAAAAGAAAAAGGAAAAAGATCTCAAGTTGTTGAGAATTTGCGCAGGGCAATTTTGTATTGATTTGCAGGGGTCCCTCTCTGACGCACAGCTTCCCCTATTTATAGCGCTGTATCTTGAATCCAAGTTAAAATCCTACTCGGACTAGGTCTCCTTTCCGGATCAACACCACCTCGACCAGTCCTATCTTCACTAGGATTGTGAACCTAGTCCTTAACTGAGCCGGATTCGCTTTCTGGGTTACTGATCCCGCCGAGACTCCTCATTGTACTAGGACTCGACTTGCGTTATGATCTATCCGACCTAGGCTTGGAAGCCCACGGGTTGAACGATCCATGGCCCTCTCGCCGCACGGCCTCTCGGGCCGAGGATGATCCTACCTTCGGCCCAAACTATTATTTTGGGCCCAAACACTATCATAAACAACTGGCTAAACCTACATGTGCTTCTCATTCATGTTACGTCTTGTACATATTGAAGAAGATAATGAAGCACATGTAGAATGGTATGTTTGATAATTTCAAACTTAAATTAAGAAATAAAACATATGTAGAAGCACATGTAGATTAGTATGTTTAATAATTTCAAACTTAAATTAGGAAATATAACATATGTAGATGGGAATATGAATCGGAATGCAAACCACTCTTTAGTTTACTAGAAAAAGGAGAATTCAACATTTTTTTATGATTAATTAGAAGCAAAATACTCTGATTCATTAATTTCCTTTGACTTGTTTAAACAATAAACAAGGCCATCACATGGAGGATTGTGTTTTGGTAAATACCATCACGTGCAAACACTTTCTTTGGTCATTAAAGGAACTAATTAGAGAGCATGGATAAGAAAGTGGTCCTGAAAAAACTTCGTCCTGGGCAAACCACATGAAAAAATTCTCAAGGAAGGAAAAAGAGGGAATGACAATTTTAACCGTTAAACCTGATAATCGTGGATAACCGTCCGAATGGATTGGATTTGAGTATGAAAATTTGGGTATATCTTGGGTATGGGAAAAAACCGTGAATATTATTCGGTTATGGTTTTGGATATGGTTATAGGGGTCCCAATCCATATCCGTACTCGAATCCGAACTGAATAATATATAATATAATTATATGTATTTCATTATTCACCGAATCCATTACCTTGATAATACAAAAATTGCATTGTGTGAGTTTTATTTTGGGGCAAAGTTCAAAAGTTTTGATATTAATCAAAATCTATGAGAATTTAATAGTATTTATGCGAGATATCAAAGATCAACCAACATTATCAATGTTTAGCTTTAATTTTTATGTTCCACAAGATCCATTAATTAAATCATTTTATACATCAAATATTTAATGATGAAATTAATATTTACTAAATTATCATGCGTCAATTGGGCAAATATATTTTTTGTATTAATGAAGATGGATATAACCGTTAACCGATAAAAAATCCATTATCCGGTGGTTATGATTATAGATAATACCCGATGATTAATTTGCGGTTATGGATATGGTTAATTTTCGTGGTTATAGAGATGGATATAGCATTTCCGTTCCCAAATCGATCCATTGCCATCCTTGATCTACCTATGTTAGAAACAAAACATAAAACGTTACAGTATAATTATTAATTACTCAGATAAGCAACTCATCGTGTTTCCTTGCTCTAGTCCTACATTAAATAGTTTACAAAATACATATAAGATTTTCGTTTATCATACTGGATATACAAGATTCTACGATCACAAACAATATGCAAAATCTACTTTTATATTGAATTTTGTGAACACATTGCACAAATAGTACAAAAGATTTACTCTTCATGCGTAAAACAAGTTTGCAAATACTTTCCAATTTTAGAAATTTAGAAGTTAATATACAAAATACATTTTAAATTGTCTTCAATGAGTTTCAAACTATGATTTTGTGTTATTATATAAGCATTCATGATTTTTTTTTTTTTCAATTTAAGTTTATGGATATTTAAGGTTGACTCCCCATTGGTAGAATTTCTAACTTCGCTACTAACAATAATACAAGAATACATGATCAATCAAAGCAAGTGCATAATTAAGGCATTTCAACCATTGGATTTCAAATCAAAGTAAGTGCATAATTAAGGCATTTCAACCATTGGATTCCAAATCAAAGTAAGTGCATAATTATGGCATCTTAACGAGTCGAAAAAATGGTTGCAAAGATTTACTCTTCAAGTACAAGACAAGTTTTATCCGACCATGCCTATATATATTAAGCCCTAAAATACAAGTTAAACTCAGAACAAATATTCTCCAAATCCCCAATTAATTAAGCAAAGATGACCAAGTTTCTATGGGGGTTTGTGCTACTCATCACCCTCTCAACAGTTGGAGAGGGAAACACGAGTCCCAACCGAGCATGCAACCCCGATGACCTCAAAGGTCTAACCAGTTTCAAGGCCGGAATCCACGTTGACACTTCCGACCGCCTAGCGACATGGGTTGGCAGTGATTGCTGCGCGTGGGATGGCATTACCTGCGACAATAGGACCGGCAGAGTGACAGAGATCAACCTACCAGGCTTCATGACAAAAGATGATGCTCCTTTCGATGCCTGGATGGAAGGTTCTCTCTCTTCCAAAATAACTCTCATATCATTCCTTGAAGTTCTGCATCTTGGTGGTTACTCTGGCCTTTCCGGGAAGATCCCAAAACTCATAGGCTTTCGCCTTCCGAAGCTCCGAAAGCTCTACCTCTACAAAAACAGCCTCACTGGACCAATACCAGAATCCATTGGTAGGCTTTCAAATCTAGAAGAACTTTTTCTGCCTGGGAACAAATTTTCTGGGTCAATCCCATCAAGCATTGGTAGCCTTAAGAATCTGAGTTCGCTACAATTGTACTCGAATCGCCTTTCGGGTTGTATGCCAGATTCACTTGCAAGTTTGACAAATTTGGTGCATTTGGATCTTAATAGCAATTCTCTAACTGGTCACATCCCACAGAGAATTGGTCAGTTGCAAGTCTTGCAAGACCTTGATCTTTCAAACAATCTTTTGTCCGGTAAGCTTCCACCTTCAATGGCTAATCTTTCAGCCATTCAAGTTATTTGGTTGGACACTAATTTTCTTGAGGGGCCAATTCCATTCCCGTCAAGCTCTGCGAAAATGACTTCTCTCAGGCTCTTAAGGCTGCAGAATAATCGACTCATCGGAAAAATACCACCCAACTTCGGAGATCTGGTTTCGCTCGAAGTTGCTTTCTTATCAAATAACAAGCTTGAAGGAGAAATTCCAAAATCCATTGGTCAACTCTCACATCTTGCATACTTCAACATCGCTCACAATATGATTCAAGGATCACTGCCTTCTGAGATGTCTTCCCTCAAAAATCTCAACTCGCTCGATCTGTCATTCAACCGTTTGAGATTCTCCTCCGTTCCAAGATGGTTTGCAGAGTTGCCTGTTTCTCGAATTTCCTTGGCAAGTTGCGGAATTCAGGGCCAAATTCCAGAGCTCTTACGCACGATTCCGACTCTCATACAAGAACTAGACTTATCAGCCAACAATCTCACCGGAAGCATTCCGACATGGATTGGAGATGGAAAGTTTGCTCAGGCGCTCTACTCATTAAACCTGTCCGATAATTCGCTTGTTTCAAAGATCCCCGACTCAATCGCAAACTTGCAAAGGTTGATTTTGCTTGATCTCCACGCAAACAAGTTAGCTTCCAACTTGCCAGAGGCCTTGGGAAATCTAAGCATGCTAAAGACTCTCGAGTTGCAGCAAAACCGCTTTTCCGGGAAAATTCCATACGGGTTGTTGAAGTTGAGAGAGCTAAAAACGTTGAACTTATCAGACAATCTTCTGGAGGGGAAAATCCCAGAGGGTAAACCGCTCAGTGACTTTCCGAAAAGCTCTTACTCCGGAAACAATGGCTTATGCGGAAAGCCTCTGGCTCCCTGCAAAGCCTAGTTGAAGGCCTCCTATCTATGCAGCCAAATAACTTTTGGAATAGAGCTCTAAATCTCCGATTTATATAAATTTATATTTCTTTCGTACATGCTCGGGCTTACGGTACGTTAAATATCAAGCATCTGATCTTAAGTAGTTTGAAAACTGAAGGATGCTTGTTGCCTCAGTTCATTGGAGATTCTTTAGAGTATAAAACGACACAAAAGATGACAGAATTTCTTCTTGAATTTGAGCTGTATTAATGAATAATTATAAGATTTACATAATCCCATCACTTACAGGGGGGGTTAAAGGGGATCTTGGGTCAACCCCAGTTGGTGGTAGTTCATGTAATCAATTCCGTTCAATCGTATACAACATAAGATCTGCTCCGGCAACTCTTCGGGTTTGTTCCCCTGTTTCGAAATGCAAATATAAGGTATGGATGAATAACTTCAAAAGGCCAGCAAACGAACAGAATAAGGGATTAATTATAGAAGTTTGAAACTTGCTACCGGGAAAATCACCTGAATCGTGAGCCCGACATCCAATATGCAGTGCTTTAGTCTATCTAGGAACGCTTCAAACCCTTTCCTAGAGATGTAACTAAATCTGTGCATATCCAAATCAATCTCGAGGTAGTTTTCTCCCTGAAATCCATTACGGTTAGCAAGAAAAGAAACACTTAAGAAGCCATATAAATCGATTGCGAATTTGGAAGACTGAAGTAAGCAATTAAAGTAATCCAAACACACTCACCATGTAAAATTCATGTTGAGGACGTGAAAGAACGGGCTTTTCATTGTAAGCCTGCATAAGTTTCCGCTCCGGTGCACTCAAGTGAAGATCTTCCACATTAGCAACACGTCCCAATATTTTCAACCTTTCTCGAAAGGGAACAATTGTGTCCACAGGAAAACCTTTGACCTTTTCTACTTCATCGCCAATTAACCTCTGGTTTGAAAAAAGGCATGGACATGGATTAGTAAATTATTAAGGTATGCTACGATTCCCCCCAGCATCATAACTGATGAAGATATGATATTTACGAATAAAGTTCAATATGAAATGGGAATACAACAGAATCTTCAAAAAGGCTCCATCTTACTCTGATATTTTCTTGAAAATTAGGTGGAAGTTCTTTAGAGTACATATCATTAAGCTTAAAGTACAAAACAAAATTCATCCCTTCTCCATCTGTCTCTCCCTGAAAAATTGCAGCAGGATACAACGGTACCTGTAGAATTAACGAAAAGGACAGTATTACAAAATCTGAACATATTTACACATATCTAGAAAGCAAAGCCATTTGAATCTCATTAACTAACGAGAAGGTATCTAAACTAACTACCCATCTTGAACTCAATTTGAGCTACAAATTTAAAACGAGCAAGATGCATTTGTCTGGCCCCGACCTTTGTTTAAGCGGTGGACGGTGGTCGGTGGGTAGAGTGGGAGAGCCTTAAAGTTAGAACCTAGCCTGGAAAATTATTGTCACAGGTGGAAGGGTATAACTCCTCAACTGTTACAGCTTATTGGCTATTTAGAAAGTATTTCGATTCAACTTATTTTCTGAATCCGAGCTGGATAGTTTGGGAAGTCTACTACTAAGGGCATACTCCGCATAAGAATAACAGAGTATTAGAAAAGATGGACAACTGTGCATTACAGGAGAATTAGAAAAGGAGAGAGGCGGGGAGAGGAGAGGGAGATCAAACTTACCTGTACATTTACAACAAGAATAGCGGGAAGATCTCCAGAAGAACTAACAACAGGCAGCTCGACAAACCGAGCTATATGATCTATCTTTCGCTGAGATAAAAATACGTCAAGACCAAATGGATAATATGCAGCATAGCTGGGAGCATGTTCCTTCTTTCTGTCCCTGCAACAAAGAATATCAAATTTTGATGGACGCCACTTACAATCACTATTTTACAACTACTACTATTTTTTATTAGATTATGTTAACATAAAAAGTGTGTGAATTTATTTATGAATATGTCCTATACCTATATGAATGTACATATGTACATATGTACATGTACTAGTGCTTAAAGTAATTGAATACTTTCCTCTGGGAATCTTACTTAAAATAATTCGGTCCCCGAACTTTGAAAGAATTTGGCTCAATATGTGACCAAGAATCAAACATTTTCTTTTCCATAGGGCAGAAAGGAACTTGAGAACCTGCTATTGGTCTTTGCAGAAGCATCTTTGAGGACACTGGAAATATGCCCAAAAAAAAGGATTAGTTAAAGGAATTACATATTGATATCTTTACGCTAGACTAAAGAGTCAAGATGCTTAAAATATACGAACACTAAGACTTACAACGAAATATTATGACATCTTTATGCTAAACTGAACATACCTGCTTGACGAATGCCAATACTGCGTCTAAAGACTAAAGAAAATGCATACTCATGATAATACGATAAAAAAGAAAAGGATAATATGTGTGTCTACCATTTGCATGTAACATATTGGCACATCAAAACATAGTTCTGGTTCTTACATAAACTTGCGTTAGGATGTCCTTCTTTCCATTTGAAGGGAAGTTTTATGGCAGCCTTTTTCCTTGCACTTGGAGGGCTAGAACTCAGTGACCTTCTCTTTTCAACCGATGGAACAGTTGAAGCAAGACAAGGCAGACAATGGCTTGGAAGAATCCCACAATTGTCCAATATTCCTTCCTCCTTGGTAGAAGATTCATCCACAGAAGAGGAGATTTCATCAAGGAACACAGGTTGGTTTGCTTCAGCAGTCGAATGTCCATCAACGTCATTACCACTCATGATATGATTAATGCTCTTCTGAGAAACTACACTGACAGAGTTGTTTGCAGAATCCCCTCTCTTATGCATCTGATCAGCCGATGAGGCATGCAGGTCAATAATATTATACTCTCCGCAATTGGCATCTCTCAATGACAAATTGCTTGATACGGATACGCGTTCAAATCCATTCACAGATAACACCTCTGCAAATATCAAGACTTTCAGTAATTCAAACATAAAAGCATCTAATTAATCAGAAAAAAACATGAAAATGAATACAATATGACTGAAATCAGACATCTGTGAAACTTTACCATCCTGAACACTATGGAAATCTTCATCGCAGTCGGACTCAAATCTTGCAACCGGATCAAACCATGCGTCTTCACTACCTTCTGCGGATGCGATGACATTTTTAACAACAATCAGGAACCATTGCCATAGAAAAAATTACAGTAAAACGCAATTTAAGAATTACAATGTTCGAAGAAAAAGAAAATGCCACCGAAATCCTGAATAATCTGTCGGATAAAATTCTGTTCCAGAATGCCATTTGCATTAAAAGACCAAGACAACATAATCTTTCAGTAGCAATATCTTCTTGCTTCATATCAAATATGAACTAGCTTCGAGACGGATTTACTTAAAGACTGAACCTTTCCAGAAACAAAATCATAGCATAAATTAAACATTTGGTGGTTCTCAAAGAAAATTACAGCATGTTCTCTGGTCAATTGCTCAATCTTAATTATGATGTTCTTAATTATTATCTTAATCAATCACGTTCTTTTAATTATCAAGATAAGTACTCACAAGAAAGCTCAAATTTTCCCATGAACAAAAAAAGAAAAACCCAGAATTATAAATACCAGAAAAATAACTCGATTCCAAACAAAAAGCTCCAAAATTTCACCATTTAACAACTTATAAAACAGAGGATTCTAGAGAGGGAGAGAGGGAGAGATGAAAAAATGGACCTTGGAAAGTGGGGTTGTTGAAGGTGGAGCGATCAGGCGGGGCGGACCGATCAAACTTGTCCGGCGATCCTTCCGACAACCGACCGGCCCGACCCGGAGTCTGTTTAGCCCGCCCGTCTCTCCTCCTCTTCCGGGTTCTCTTCCTCTTCGACGAGCTCAATCTCCCTCCGACGCACCCCTCCGGCTTTGACACGCACGCCCCCATAACCCCCTCCCTCTCTCTCTCTCTCGCGCTCAGATATCAACAAGACAACCGTCGCCAATTCACCATAGCATAATTATAGAGAGAGAGAAACAAGAGAGAGAGAGAGAAAGAAAGAGAGCTGGAAGGAGCTAGCGTTTGTTTGTTGGTCGTTGGTTTTTTGTTGGTTTTTGTTTGTTGGAAGCAAAAGCTCGAGGCGGAAGCTTTAATGGCAGGCAGAGTCAAATAAAAGGAAGTAAAAAGGAGGGAGAGAGGGAGCGAGAGACGGCAGTTGTTGTGGCAGCGTAAAGGCATCTCTATTAAGTTTATAGCGGTCAGTGAGTGGTGGGGTTGGAGAAATTTTTATTCGGGAACATGGATGGTATACATTACGTGTTTTAATAAAAATTATGACAAATTTTAATTTTTAAGTTATTAACCTTTTAACGTACATAAACTATCATTTATATAGAGACACGTGATATATACCATCTCGTATGATGGTCATTTTAAAAAATCTCTCGTGAGGTTGGGACGGGAGTACGCATCCAAATGATTTGACACGTGGCGTCATGTGGTTTTACTTGACCCTGGAACGTGTGGGTTTTCATTCTCTCCGTGTGTGTTGGTTTTGACGCTGGCGTTTGGCTTACGTTGTTCATTAAAATTTCACGGTTGGGAAAGCACTTTTTTATTTTTATTCAAATTCATGCAGTTGTGCAATTGTCTGATTTGGTTTTATTTTTCCTTGATAAATAACGAGTTTAATATTTAATTATGACCGAAGCATTATATAGTATATAGTATATCTTTTTTATATTGTTGTGTCAAAAGTTCGTTACAAAAATTTAATTGGGTCTCCTTCTTGACATATCATTTGATAGTACATCTCACATAAAAGTATAAGATTATTTATTTTGATCCCCTAACTTTATGTGGCCTCCGATCGCGTTACTCAATAATGCATTCCATATAAAATGTTTATCTTGTAAGTTGTACGTAATCATAAAGGATAATGCTAAGGAGATTAAATTTAAAGACAAAATTTGCAAGTTAAACAATGTGTCACCAATATGAATGAGCATGTTTATCAACGTTTAAAAAGTAAATAAATTATCAACTTTCATATCGTTTAGTTTCTAAAATTTCCTCTATAAAGTTAGTCTCCCGCATTACCCAAACATAAATATCTAACTCTAAAGATAAATGATTTTAAATATCTAACTCTAAAGAGAAATGACTTTTGAGGGTAAGGACCAAAGCAGTATTCGTTGTTCCATCTGATTTCTTTTTCTTTCCATTCTAATAGTGAGTCCAAAAAACGTCGTCGTCTCGTAGATGATAAAGCT